GCAGTGATAGAACGCATTATTAGGCTACCGATTAAACCCTCAGAAACGCGCGTTTCAGCGCATTTTAACTCAAAATTAAGTTTTGTTTAATAATTCACCAACACCGAGAAACGTAAATGCTCCGTATTTGTAAAGCGCTTTTCTTTTTGACCACTCAAAGCGCTTTTACACTGAGCCTAAGTGCTCAAACAGAAACTAACATTCACACACAGGCGGAACAGCAGTTCAGTATCTTTCCCACATTCGGGGATTGAACCGCCGACCTTCCGATTAATGGGCAACCCGCTCTACCTCCTGAGCCACAGCCGCCCCGAAACAGTTCAGCAGCAGAAGAACAAACGCGTGAGTCAAAGAGTAAAGTTATTTCGTGTTGCTGGAGTTTTGGTGCAAACTGCGGCTCCCCTGATGGATCATGGGTAAACAGATTTCTACAGTCTGTGTTTGAGTTTTAGTGAGTGAGAGAGGTCCTGACAGATCCTGTCTGAGTGTCGGGAGATTTAGATAATCTGTGACGTCATGCTGCTGTGCCTCACGCGTAAATGCGCACAGCGTCTTTCTTAATGGGCAGACGATCCATCCTGTTTTGATCACCCCCCCACCTGATCCGCGGATATAACGCTGCACATCACTAGACGCCAGCTCTGCAGCACAGCTCACGGTCAGCAGAGAAAGGAACTCCGGCGGGTTTTAGCTGAAGCTCTGACAGATGGATCCACAGGTTGGTGCTGAAATGACTGGCAGGACAGAGAGTTCTGAACCGGAGAGTTATTTCATTTGAAATCTCTCGTGCGTTCATCATTTCTTTCTTTCATTCAGTAAAATAAAAAAACAAAAAATCCAAAGAGAGAAAGCAGCTAGCTGGCTCTCATCAAGCCAGCTAGCTGGACTCACCTTTCTGACTTACCTGTCCGGCGGTTCCTTGGAGGTCGGCTGGAAATCGGAGTCGGACAACGGCGGAAATTCGCGACGGGAAACGCACGCAACGCGGTTTTGGTTGGTTTGAACGGTTTTTGTTGGTTTCAGAGAGTTTAGTTTTTGGTGTTTTTGGTTTTTTGAACACAGACACACATTTATCACGTACCTCAGAGGCTTGAACCCACGTCTCCAGGTTCCCGGGCGGCGTCCTTCACCACCGGACCATCTTCAGTACCGATGGAGACCGAAACCCAGAGAGAGGAAGAGGATCAGACTGAGGGAGGAACCTGCAGAAGATCCACCTCATGATGGACTTCCTGGCTTTGAAGCTTCTGATCAGCTGGTTGTTGAGCTGCTCCTCTCATCATTTATAATAAAGTAAGATCTCCTGGTTCTGTTGTTCTAGATGGTCCAGTGGACAGGGCTCCTGGTTTGTACTAATTTTAAAAGAAAGAAAGAAGAAAGAAAGGATTTGACTCCACAAACTGAACCAGCAGAACTATCAGACCTTTCTGAGCTGATCAGAAGATTAAATGAAATCTGGAGTTCAGAGCAGAACTGTCTGAGAGAAGAAGATAAACCTTGTCCCTGTGGTCTCTGTGGACTAGTGGTCAGTGTTCCTGCCGTCCACATAAAGGATCCAGTTTTAAATCCACCGGCAGGAAAGTGAGGGTTTATTTTGTGTTCAGAATTCTGATCTGATGATTTAAAATCACAGCTGACAGGAGACGCTAAGATCTTCACCGCAGAACTGCAGGAACTGAAACATGACTGCTGGTCTTTCAGAAAGCAAAAGATCTTTCTGCAACGTTATTCCTGCTCCCTGAAGGTCCAGATTCCACAGGAAGTGAAAAACACCTGTCTGCTCATCAGTCACATCATATAAAACACTGAACATTAGTCTGAAACATCACATTTCAGCGTTCCTGCTCCTGCAGGGATCTGCCACGGTTCAGGATGCAGTTTATGTCTTTGCCACCAGAGGACGTCAGATCCTCCTTTAAAGGAGGTCTGAGCTCCTTCTGATTCAGTCAGCTCCTTAGAACCAATCAGCATTCAGCGAGATGAAGTCCACGGTCTCTCCGGGGACATTACTTTAATAAATCAACCACATATTTGAAATGAAACTTTATAGGAGAGCCTTTTGAAAAGTGCTATAAATAAAGATTATTATTAATATATAAAATCTGTGTATCTCGCATTGATTTTACAGAAAAGAAACACGTGGTTTCACCTTCACAGTGAAAATATGTTGCAATCTAAGTTGTGTTATAAAGATGTATAAGCTTACAAATATTTACCATCTGAAAAGTAACTGCAGTCAGATAAATGTGGAGCAGCAGATGTAAAAAATAGAAATAAATGGATGTGGAATCGCAGGCCGCTTAGTGCAGAAGTACTTGAGTAAATATACAGTACAGGTCAAAAATTTGGACACACCTTCTCATCCAATGCATTTTCTTTATTTTCATGACTATTTACATTGTAGATTCTCACTGAAGGCATCAAAACTATGAATGAACACATGTGGAATTATGTACTTAACAAAAAAGTGTGAAATAACTGAAAACATGTCTTATATTTTAGATTCCTCAAAGTAGCCAACCTTTGCTTTTTTGATAGCGCTGCAAACCCTTCGTGTTCTCTCAATGATCTTCATGAGGTAAACACGTGAAATGGTTTTCACTTCACAGGTGTGCCTTGTCAGGGTTAATTAGTGGAATTTATTCCCTTATTAATGGGGTTGGGACCATCAGTTGTGCAGAAGTCAGGTTGACACACAGCCGACAGCCCCATTGGACAACTGTTAGAAATCATATTATGGCAAGAACCAATCAGCTAAGTAAAGGGAAACGAGTGGTCATCATTACTTTAACAAATGAAGGTCAGTCAGTCTGGAAAATTGCGAAAACTTTGAACGTGTCCCCAAGTGCAGTCGCAAAAACCATCAAGCGCTACAATGAAACTGGCTCACATGAGGACCGCCCCAGGAAAGGAAGACCGAGAGTCACCTCTGCTGCTGAGGATAAGTTCATCCGAGTCACCAGCTTCAGAAATCGCAGGTTAACTGCAGCTCAGATTAGAGACCAGCTGAATGCCGCACAGAGTTCTAGCAGCAGACGCGTCTCTAGAACAACTGTGAAGAGGAGACTGTGCGAATCGGGCCTTCGTGGTCAAGTAGCTGCTAGGAAACCACTGGAGAGGCAACAAGCAGAAGAGATTTGTTTGGGCCAAGAAACAGAAGGAATGGACATTAGACCAGTGGAAATCTGTGCTTTGGTCTGACGAGTCTGAGATCTTTGGTTCCAGCCGCCGTGTCTTTCTGCGACGCAGAAAAGGTGAACGGATGGATTCTACATGCCTGGTTCCCACCGTGAAGCATGGAGGAGGAGGTGTGATGGCGTGGGGGTGCTTTGCTGGTCACACTGTTGGGGATTTAGTCAAAATTGAAGGCAAACTGAACCAGCACGGCTACCACAGCGTCCTGCAGCGACATGCCATCCCATCCGGTTTGCATTTAGTTGGACCATCATTTATTTTTCAACAGGACAATGACCCCAAACACACCTCCAGGCTGTGTAAGGGCTGTCTGACCAAGAAGGAGAGTGATGGAACCCGATCGAGTTGGTTTGGCGTGAGCTGGACCGCAGAGTGAAGGCAAAAGGGCCAACAAGTGCTAAGCATCTCTGGGAACTCCTTCAAGACTGTTGGAAAACCATTTCAGGTGACTACCTCTTGAAGCCCATCAAGAGGATACCAAGAGTGTGCAGAGCAGTAATCAGAGCAAAGGGTGGCTACTTTAAGACGTGTCTTCAGTACATAATTCCACATGTGTTCATTCATAGTTTTGATGCCTTCAGTGAGAATCTACAATGTAAATAGTCATGAAAATAAAGAAAATGCATTGAATGAGAAGGTGTGTCCAAACTTCTGCCCTTTACACGCCTTCATCTCATCACGCCTGGATTATTGCAACAGCCTTTTCACCTGTTTAACCCAAAAATCTATTGATCGACTCCAGACTGTCCAGAACTCAGCTGCCAGGCTTTTAACCAGAACAAAGAAATATGACCACATTACTCCCATTTTAGCTTCATTACACTGGCTCCCAGTATGTTTTAGAATTGACTTTAAAATTCTATTGATCACTTTTAAAGCTCTTCATGGCCTCTCGCCTTCTTATATTTCTGACCTTTTAGTCCCATACGCACCAGCACGTACCTTGAGATCCTCGGGCAGAGGTCTGTTGTCTGTTCCAGAGTCTCGACTGAAAACTAAAGGGGACAGAGCGTTTGCTGTCAGGGCCCCGAGGCTCTGGAACAGCCTGCCTGAGGAAATTTTTTATTTTTTTATTTAGAGAAACAGGGACAACGTACAATAAACATTAACCTCAAAGGGGAAGATGCATTGTACCGGGTTTTAGCTCAAGAGCTAATTTTCACCCGTAGTCCCTGGGCAGGCTGATGTTAAGTTAAGATACATAAAAAACATACATGAATAATAAGATTTACAATGACATGTCCTGCGTTTAGGGATCCTGCTCCCCTCGCACTGTAGATCTAGTGGCTCGAGTTGTTGTTTCAGAGCCCAAAGAGATAAATTGTTTTAGAGGAGGAGCAGCGTTATCATAAAGGATCTTATACATCAAACACAGATTGGTATGAATTATCAAATTTTCAAAGCTGAGAAATTGGTATTTTACAAGAATATGACAGTGATGAAATTGTCTGCTTTTCTGATCGTGAATCTTTAGAGAGGTTTTATATAATGACTCAAGTGGCTTGAGGACAGTTTTAGTAGCCTGTGACCAACTTGTCATACAATATCGAAAATGAGGAACTATCATTGCATTCAGATAGACTCCTGAGGCCTCGATTGTAAGGGAATTTCGAATGTATCTGAATTGTGCCATATTAAATTTTATTGTATTTGATAACTTTTTTATATGTTTTTAAAGCCTAAATTTGGTTCCAATATGACACCTAAATATTTTACCATCAGGTCGGCTGAGTCAGTGAACTCTTTTAAGTCCCTTCTTAAAACATACTTTTATAGGAGAGCCTTTCCCGATCTTATTTGACTTTATTTTATCCCTTTTATTTTATTCTATTTTACTAATTTTATATTTATCATAAACGTGTATTTTAGTCTTTTCTTTATCTTGTATTGTTTTTATATTATTGTTTTTGGGGTATTATTGTCTTTACACTTGTTAAAGCAATTTGTAACTTGTTTTTGAAAACTGCTCTACAAATAAAGATTATTATTATTATTATTATTACTGTACTTCTGGATAGAATCAACAGATGGGTTGAAAAAACAACAGTGGAGTCACGTGTGACAGTGTTAAAGACGGGCTGGCTGTGTCTCCATGAACAAATTCTCATCATTATTAAAATATGTCAGTCTTTTTAAACCGGCTCTTATTGTGAAACCGGAAGCTGTGCGTCTTATCGCGGCGTCTTGAGAACCTTTTGAGCAGAAAGGAGCTGGGACAGGCAGGAGGGACGGATCAGGAAGAGAAGAACCCAGACATCGGGATTAAACCACGAGACACAGAGCAGAGAAGAAGGAGGAGAAGAAGGAGGAGAAGTAAACAACCAGTGAAGTGTGGAGCCCTCCGCAGAGTGACCTGCTGCTTCTGACTGATTCTGAGTTTACTTCGGTTTCTTCTGCTGCGGCTGCCAATCACACAGGATCCAGACCCAGCGGAGGTGTGTTCAGGCCCCGCCCCCTCAGGTAAGTTTCAGTACAGGTCAGGACACGCGCGCGCGCACCCCGCCGCGGGTGTGTTATTTCATCACAGCTGAGATTTACAGACTGTGTGCTCTTCTTACAGTTTCACTTGAATCATCACATAAAACTTTTTACAGACTCAAGGTCCAGATCTCACCCACCACAGCACACCCGTCTAAAACCAGCACAGTAAATCCTGCTTAAAGAAATGACTTTAGATTATTTTAAAAAGGCCGTCGGTGTTCTACCAGGAAACAGTTTGGTAGCGTGCAGCACTTTAGGCGGATGGAGTATCTGGATATATAAAGTCCTGAAGGTTGTTCAAAGCCGTGCCGGCGATTTAAAGTGACTCTTACTGGCAGACAAATGAGAATCAATAAGACAAGAATAAAACATTTTTATAAAATGAGAAGCAACAGAAAGAAGGAATGTTTTACTGAAGAACTCTCTCTCTGCAGTAATGCAACAACTTCATGGAGGTTCAGTACGAAACTGTTGAGGTGTATCTACACACACGTCCTTCTTATCGCTGCTGGTTGTAGCCGCTGTGGTTCAGGATGTGAGCTCAGTTAACAGGAACCATCAGAACAACACAGGCCGGAAACACCTGAGTGTGAGTGCAGAGTGAAAACAAGACGTGTTCAGTTCTTCAGCAGCTCACAGAGCAACACAAGCGCAGCTGGAGGAGCCGGCGGCCTGGGTGGAGGGCCGCTTCATGTTCGGCGAGTTGGCCCGGTGTTGCAGGAGGGTTTAGCGACGACCGGCTCCAGAGCTTCTTTATTCACAGAGGATCACGTTGAAGCGTTCTCTGTTGGAAATGATGCTGTGTTGAAGCTTTGTTGTTTTGCTGCCGCGGTAACAACCACGATGATCTGGTGTGACGTGCCGGAGAGGTGTGGTGGGCCCGTGGCTCGCAGGGAGGGGGAGGACAAACGGCTCTCAACCACAATCGTACCACAGTGTGCAGAATTAGGAAATGCACGTGTGTTTTGGGTTGTTGGATAGTGATCCTTACAGAAAGCAGAGATGACGAATGCTCGGGGAACTTGTGAGTGTGTGTTGATTATCAGGCTGGAACTCCATTTCAGACATGAAATGAGGGTTTGGGTTTGAGGAATGCTTCATGTCCTCACAAGATTAGAACCTGCGTATGTTTGCCCGGAGGACGGGGTGTTGCGTGTCCCCCTGGATCTGAGCCACTTCCTGTCATTATGCTTTATCACTGTGGAATAATTTCCTTTGAACCTTCAGGAGCCAGAATCCATTTAGTCCGGCTTTGAATGTGAAACTGTTCAGACTGAGCCGTTTGATTCTTTCTACCAACCTGAACCTGAACCTGCAGCCGATCTGACGGTCTGCAGCTGAAACCACTAACGCCACTAAGTTTGTTCCTCCGCCGTCTTCCTCTGTTCTCTGTTTTTAGAAGGATGGATGGAAGCGGCTCCGCAGGAAATCCCAGCGCTGCCTCGTCTCGCGCGCTTCCTGCCCACGCTGATGAGGACGTGCTTCAATCAGATGATTGGATCTCAGCTTCTGAGGAGGACGGCGGGCAGAGCAGAGAGTCAGTCAGTGTGCCCGGGTCCCAGAAAGACCAGAGTCCAGCGGGGATCCATCAGAGTCCTACAAAGAAAGGCCAGACTCGAGGAGAGACTCACCAGAGTCCAGCAGAGAAACACCAGGCTGCAGAGGACCCAGACCGGCTGTGTCTCATAAAACATACAAACCACATGGGTCCTCCAACAAAACAACAGAAACCAGAAGATTCTGCAACCAAACCAGGTCAACTAAAACAAAATCCTCTTTCTACAGTGGAACAAAAACTGCAAGATTCACCAAAACTTCAACCTAAACCAGATCAGCCTTCTCTAACCAAGCCCGGTTGTCTTTGTACAGATCCAAAGAAACCAGGAGATCCTCTTTGCTCCAAAGACTCCCAGCTACACCAAACCCGGGAAGATCCTTGTCTCGCAAACCTGGAACCTGAAGAGGACCCTCCTCCCCCCTTAAAGGATTTAACCGCTTTCACTTCAACCTTCGATGAACAAAACCAGAAGGTGCTTAAGCTCCACATCTCCAAAGACCAACAGAACCACCAGGATCCACCTTCAGAGAAACCCACTTCATCCACACCTGAGAGGCATCAAGACCACCACGAACCTCCTCCTCACATGAACACCCAGCTGGCTCCTCCTGCTCCTGCAGACCAGCAGAACCACCTGTCTTCTCCTCAGGTTCCGCCTTCGATAGTCCTTCCCACTGAGGCGTCCACCCTGCCTCCACCAGTCCAGGCTCCGCCCCCCACCATCGAGGTGTTCTGTGACCAGGTGCTGCACCGCCCTACGGTTTCTTCTTCAGGTGAGCCCAAACTGTGTGGCTTCCTGCAGAAGCAGGGGGGGCCCCTGAGGGCCTGGAAACAGCGCTGGTTCACCTACGAAGAGAAGAAGAATCAGCTGTTCTACTACCGCACGCCACAGGATGTCACGCCACTCGGCTGGGTGGAGCTCAGCAGCGCCACCTTCACCTACCCGCTGAAGGCTGAAAAGGGCACCTTCCACATCAAGACCCCCGAACGCACCTTCATACTCAAGGTAGGGGGCCATGTAGTCCTGTCAGGGTCTGAGTCATCCAGTAAAACTCACCTGGTGTGACGTTAATGCTTTAATGCCCCGCCCACAGGCTGTGACCCAGGAGCTGATGCTCTATTGGCTGCAGCAGCTGCAGGTGAAACGCTGGCAGCACAGACAGACGTCCACCTGTCCAGAGCCGACAAACAACACTGCAGGTGAGACACAACGCCAGCCGTGACTTAGACCACTAACTGGTCTGATGATGGTTTAACTGGTCTGATGGGTGGGTTAACTGGTCTGATGGGTGGTTTAACTGGTCTGATGGGTGGTTTAACTGGAGTGATGGGTGGTTTAACTGGTCTGATGGGTGGTTTAACTGGTCTGATGGGTGGTTTAACTGGAGTGATGGGTGGTTTAACTGGTCTGATGGGTGGTTTAACTGGTCTGATGGGTAGGTTAACTGGTCTGATGGGTAGGTTAACTGGAGTGATGGGTGGGTTAACTGGTCTGATGGGTGGGTTAACTGGAGTGATGGGTAGGTTAACTGGTCTGATGGGTAGGTTAACTGGTCTGATGGTGGTTTAACTGGTCTTGTGATGGTTTAACTGGTCTGATGGGTGGTTTAACTGGTCTGATGGTGGTTTAACTGGTCTGGTGATGGTTTAACTGGTCTGATGGGTGGTTTAACTGGTCTGATGATGGTTTAACTAGTCTGATGATGGTTTAACTGGTCTGGTGATTGTTTAACTTGAGTGATGGTTAGTTTAACTGGTCTGGTGATGGTTTGACTTGTCTGATGGTTAGTTTAACTGGTCTGATGATGGTTTGACTTGTCTGATGGTTAGTTTAACTGGTCTGATGATGGTTTGACTTGTCTGATGGTTAGTTTAACTGGTCTGGTGATGGTTTAACTTGAGTGATGGTTAGTTTATCTGGTCTGATGGTGGTTAACTGGTCTGATGGTTAGGTTAACTGGTCTGATGGTTAGGTTAACTGGTCTGATGGTTAGTTTAACTGGTCTGATGGTTAGTTTAACTGGTCTGATGGTGGTTTAACTAGTCTGGTGATGGTTTAACTGGTCTGATGGTTAGTTTAACTGGTCTGGTGATGGTTTAACTTGAGTGATGGTTAGTTTAACTGGTCTGATGGTTAGTTTAACTTGAGTGATGGTTAGTTTAACTGGTCTGATGGTTAGTTTAACTGGTCTGATGGTTAGTTTAACTGGTCTGATGGTGGTTTAACTGGTCTGATGGGTAGTTTAACTGGTCTGATGGGTGGTTTAACTGATCTGATGGGTAGTGTTACTGGTCTGATGGGTAGTTTAACTGGTCTGGTGATGGTTTAACTTGAGTGATGGTTAGTTTAACTGGTCTGGTGGTGGTTTAACTGGTCTGATGGTTAGTTTATCTGGTCTGATGATGGTTTGACTGGTCTGATGGTTAGTTTAACTGGTCTGGTGATGGTTTAACTTGAGTGATGGTTAGTTTAACTGGTCTGGTGATGGTTTAACTTGAGTGATGGTTAGTTTAACTGGTCTGGTGATGGTTTAACTTGAGTGATGGTTAGTTTAACTGGTCTGACGGTGGTTTAACTGGTCTGACGGTGGTTTAACTGGTCTGACGGTGGTTTAACTGGTCTGATGGTGGTTTAACTGGAGTGATGGTTAGTTTAACTGGTCTGATGGTGGTTTAACTGGTCTGATGGTGGTTTAACTGGAGTGATGGTTAGTTTAACTGGTCTGATGGTGGTTTAACTAGTCTGATGATGGTTTAACTAGTCTGATGATGGTTTAACTAGTCTGATGATGGTTTAACTGGTCTGGTGATAGTTTAACTTGAGTGATGGTTAGTTTAACTGGTCTGATGGTGGTTTAACTGGTCTGATGGTGGTTTAACTGGTCTGATGGTGGTTTAACTGGTCTGATGGGTAGTTTAACTGGTCTGGTGATGGTTTAACTGGTCTGATGGGTAGTTTAACTGGTCTGGTGATGGTTTAACTAGTCTGGTGATGGTTTAACTAGTCTGGTGATGGTTTAACTGGTCTGATGATGGTTTAACTGGTCTGATGGTTAGTTTAACTGGTCTGATGATGGTTTAACTGGTCTGATGGTTAGTTTAACTGGTCTGATGATGGTTTAACTGGTCTGATGGTTAGTTTAACTGGTCTGATGATGGTTTAACTGGTCTGATGATGGTTTAACTGGTCTGGTGATGGTTTAACTGGTCTGATGATGGTTTAACTAGTCTGATGATGGTTTAACTGGTCTGGTGATGGTTTAACTGGTCTGATGGTTAGTTTAACTGGTCTGATGATGGTTTAACTGGTCTGATGGTTAGTTTAACTGGTCTGATGATGGTTTAACTAGTCTGATGATGGTTTAACTGGTCTGGTGATGGTTTAACTGGTCTGATGATGGTTTAACTAGTCTGATGATGGTTTAACTAGTCTGGTGATGGTTTAACTGGTCTGATGGTTAGTTTAACTGGTCTGATGATGGTTTAACTGGTCTGATGGTTAGTTTAACTGGTCTGATGATGGTTTAACTGGTCTGATGGGTGGTTTAACTGGAGTGATGGGTGGTTTAACTGGTCTGATGGTTAGTTTAACTGGTCTGATGATGGTTTAACTGGTCTGATGGTTAGTTTAACTGGTCTGATGATGGTTTAACTAGTCTGATGATGGTTTAACTGGTCTGGTGATGGTTTAACTGGTCTGATGATGGTTTAACTAGTCTGATGATGGTTTAACTAGTCTGGTGATGGTTTAACTGGTCTGATGGTTAGTTTAACTGGTCTGATGATGGTTTAACTGGTCTGATGGTTAGTTTAACTGGTCTGATGATGGTTTAACTGGTCTGATGGGTGGTTTAACTGGAGTGATGGGTGGTTTAACTGGTCTGATGGTTAGTTTAACTGGTCTGATGATGGATTAACTAGTCTGATGATGGTTTAACTGGTCTGGTGATGGTTTAACTGGTCTTATGGGTAGTTTTACTGGTCTAGTGATGGTTTAACTGGTCTGATGGGTAGTTTAACTGGTCGGATGGGTGGTTTAACTGGTCGGATGACCCAGGTTCAACTCCCCACTGTGGCACGTCCACCAGTGTGTCCCTGAGCAAGACACTTAACCCCTAATTGCTCCAGAGGCTCGCAATTGTAAGTCGCTTTGGATAAAAGCGTCATCTAAATTAATAAATGTAATGTAAATGTTTATCTGGTCTGATGGTGGTTAACTGGTCTGATGGTTAGTTTAACTGGTCTGATGGGTAGTTTAACTGGTCTGGTGATGGTTTAACTGGACTGATGGTTAGTTTAACTGGTCTGACGGTGGTTTAACTGGTCTGATGGGTGGTTTAACTGGTCTGATGGGTAGTTTAACTGGTCTGATGGGTAGTTTAACTGGTCTGGTGATGGTTTAACTGGACTGATGGTGGTTTAACTGGTCTGATGGTTAGTTTAACTGGTCTGACGGTGGTTTAACTGGTCTGATGGGTAGTTTAACTGGTCTGGTGATGGTTTAACTGGACTGATGGTGGTTTAACTGGTCTGATGGTTAGTTTAACTGGTCTGATGATGGTTTAACTGTTCTGATGATGGTTATGGCGCTGTGGATAAGATGCATGTATTTGGTGTGAGAGACCCAGGTTCAACTCTCCACTGTGGAGAGTTGAACCCCTAGTTGCTCCAGAGGCATGCGACCTCTTGCAATTGTAAGTCGCTTTGGATAAAAGCGTCATCTAAATGAATAAATGTCACGTAAATGTTTAACTGGTCTGATGGTGGTTTAACTGTACCGCCAATCTTAAATAAAATCCATAATCCGAAGATGGCGTAAATTTCATTCATGTTAGCATTTTACATGTAAAAGTTCGACCGGCCTTTTTAAAACTCTCCATATTAAATCATAAATAGTTTGAAAGCTTGTTTTCAAAAACAAGCCACCGCACACTGAAATGATTTCACTCCATTTATTGTGAACAATGCATTTTGCCTGTGGCTTCTTCAGGTTCACACATTGAAATTGCAAAAGCACTCACAGGTGTGCTATATAGGCAATGTGTAGGTCACATGACCAGTAATCCCAGTTCAAAATACTAATAATAATACTAATACAAATGGCAAAATATGATTAATATAACAAAATGTAAATAAACATACATGAAATCACAAAAATAGCATCATTTCACCAGTCCATAAAAAGACTACTATGAAGCCCGTGGACATTACAAAACATAAATGAGGCTATGGTCCATGTTTTCATCTCTAGGACATGTGTTCATGTGACAACATTTTAATGCTTGGTGTGTTTTTCTCAAAACACACGTTTCCTGTTCGCTAAGTTCTTTTCCTTGCCCTTCAGGGCAGTTAGATCATCATAAATTCACACAATGTTTCTTCGGTCTTATATATATTTTAAAATATCTTTTATCATTCTTAATTAATATGTGCAAAAAGTGGTCCATCACACACATGAGTGGTATATTTTGAATAAATCTTGAATAAACCGATTTGTAAATGTCTGGACCGTTGGTAGGTTATCACAGTTAAACCAAAAAAGCCCATCTGACTCCCAACTATGTGCTTGAAAATAGATGTGATGTATAAATTAGCACATATTTAATGAAGAAATACCTCAAGTGCAAATAAAAAATAAAAAACCTAAATTGTAATCTCAAAAAAGCTTTGATTTATGTTTACTGTCAGCTTGTTGGGAAACAGCTTATTTGACTGGTGTCTGGCCTTAAATTAGATTAAAGGATGAAATCTGTGAGACAGAAGATGATGAAGAGTAACAACATGAAAACACACTGTTGTGTGTGTGGCATTAACGAACAATAGAAAGAAACCGAAGCTGTTGTGGAAATGACCCAGCAGCAGATTAAAGTGCAGCATCGTGAAGCAAAACACTGAAGGATTAAACAGTTTTCAGACGTCAGCTGATCTGGATTTCAGACCAAACCAGCTCAGCCTGCAGGTCTCTGGAGGAGGCAAAGAACCAGAGGAGGTGAGGAAGTGGTGAACTGCTCATTCAATGTGTGTAACAGTATTTAATTAGGGGTGGGGGGGAAGGAAACATGATGTGATGCGTAGGAGGCGCTCTGTGATGTTGCTATGTGGAGCTGAGGATCATTTCCTGTTGTTGGTTTGGCTCCACATGGGCAGAGAGGCTGCATCCTGAACCGCCTACTACAAACTACCGGCGACCACAATGTGCATTACGTACTGCACACTGGTTTCATAGTAGTATGCTGTATGTACTACGTACTGCTCACTGGTTTCATAGTAGTATGCTGTATGTACTACGTACTGCACACTGGGCTTCATAGTAGTATGCTGTATGTACTACGTACTGCTCAGAGCGGAGCGTCTTCCCTCTCAGAGGATCTTTGGCGGCGTTCAGGCCCATTTAATTTAGTTTCTCTGCTGCTGGAGACGTTGCTCAGGTTAATCTGTGATGTGACGTCAGCAGCTGCTTCCTGAATGTTCCTCAGAGTTTAGAGAATCCTCCGTCTGAGAAGCTCAAACTTTCCTCTCAGTCTGCTGCAGCAGCTGACTCAGCGCAGCAGAGGAAAGGAAGGACTGGATTTTTTCTGAGTAATCCACCAGGAATGTGGGATTGGCCAATGCAGCTCGATGACGTCACACTGAGTTGAAGCAAAAGTACACTCACCTAAAGGATTATTAGGAACCCCATACTAATACTGTGTTTGACCCCCTTTCGCCTTCAGAACTGCCTTAATTCTACGTGGCATTGATTCAACAAGGTGCTGAAAGCATTCTTTAGAAATGTTGGCCCATATTGATGGATAGCATCTTGCAGTTGATGGAGATTTGTGGGATGCACATCCAGGGCACGAAGCTCCCGTTCCACCACATCCCAAAGATGCTCTATTGGGTTGAGATCTGGTGACTGTGGGGGCCATTTTAGTACAGTGAACTCATTGTCATGTTTGAAATGATTGGAGCTTTGTGACATGGTGCATTATCCTGCTGGAAGTAGCCATCAGAGGATGGGTACATGGTGGCCATAAAGGGATGGACATGGTCAGAAACAATGCTCAGGTAGGCCGTGGCATTTAAACCATGCCCAATTGGCACTAAGGGGCCTAAAGTGTGCCAAGAAAACATCCCCCACACCATTACACCACCACCACCAGCCTGCACAGTGGTAACAAGGCATGATGGATCCATGTTCTCATTCTGTTTACGCCAAATTCTGACTCTACCATCTGAATGTCTCAACAGAAATCGAGACTCATCAGACCAGGCAACATTTTTCCAGTCTTCAACTGTCCAATTTTGGTGAGCTCTTGCAAATTGTAGCCTCTTTTTCCTATTTGTAGTGGAGATGAGTGGTACCCGGTGGGGTCTTCTGCTGTTGTAGCCCATCCGCCTCAAGGTTGTGCGTGTTGTGGCTTCACAAATGCTTTGCTGCATACCTCGGTTGTAACGAGTGGTTATTTCAGTCAAAGTTGCTCTTCTATCAGCTTGAATCAGTCGGCCCGTTCTCCACTGACCTCTAGCATCAACGAGGCATTTTCGCCCACAGGACTGCCGCATACTGGATGTTTTTCCCTTTTCACACCATTCTTTGTAAACCCTAGAAATGGTTGTGCGTGAAAATCCCAGTAACTGAGCAGATTGTGAAATACTCAGACCGGCCCGTCTGGCACCAACAACCGTGCCACGCTCAAAACTGCTTAAATCACCTTTCTTTCCCATTCTGATATTCAGTTTGGAGTTCAGGAGATTGTCTTGACCAGGACCACACCCCTAAATGCATTGAAGCAACTGCCATGTGATTGGTTGATTAGATAATTGCATTAATGAGAAATTGAACAGGTGTTCCCAATAATCCTTTAGGTGAGTGTATATCCGAGGTGGGTTCAAATCAAGGGCACCTGGACTTGGTTGAAGATACTCTGAGATGTTTGGCCTCTCAGCTTCTTCAGTTCTGACTGGCTGGCAGGTGACGGATACCGCCTGGTTCGTTTGTGCTCCTGGCTGTCGGGCCGTTGTTGGTTTTCTGGGAAAAGACGCTTCTTTACCTCATGAAACTTTGCACAAAATTCAATTCACTTAGATCTTAAGACAAAAACAGCTGACAAGCATGAACCATCCGTCTGCTACCCAGGAGGCCCCTGACCTTTATAGACCTACACCAGCAGCATTCAGACACTAGATGACATTAGATGATTACACCAATTCCCTCCATCATCCATGACGATATCCAGTGAGACAGCCCAGAGTATACATAAAGTATACGTACAGTATCTACTGTATATATGAAAAAATGTACATAGTATATATGTATAACTCTCTAAACTGGTAAACAAGCAAGCGAATGCTGAAAAAGGCCGTTCACCACAGAAAGTGACCATTTAATTTGGTGTTAGAGAGACTGCAGATTATTATGGATGTACAGTAACACGTCCTCTGTGTTTCTCTGGTCCGTTTCCTTCTTTTGAATTGAATTCTGTTTCCTGTCTCTGCAGACGACTTCCTGCCGGTGTTGAAGAGCCCGCTGGGTCTGGTGGGGGAGGAGGCGGCCAACGCACCGTCACAACGAACGCCGCTGGTCGACATGTCAATCAAACACCCGCTCATCGAGATCCAGTGAGTGTCGGTTTGCTTCTCTGTGACGTTCAGAGTCAGCGTGTCTGTTTAAACATCAGCGTTTCCCATGAGCCTCAGCGCTCCATGTCTCTGGTGTTCTTTCTTTGTCTGGACAGAAACTCGGTCCACAGTCTCCGGAAGAGGACGACTCAGGATTGGACTCAGAGTTTGTTTCATGTAGACGCTCCTCCGTGGATCCCCCCGAGCTCTGCAGACACCGACGCCACGGGTAGGTCCGCTAACAACAGGTACCAGGATCAGTTCTAAAGGTCCGGACCTGAGCTGGGACGGGTTGTTTCTGTCCTGTCAGGCTTTACGTCCCTTATTTTCATCTGATCGTAATGTGACATTCACAGATAACCTCCTGTCCTATGTCAGTCCCTCCAGACCCCAGGACTCCCATTGAGTCCCCGTCCCCGTCCCCGCCCCCTCCCTTCACATTGGCTGATCCAGCAGGTCAGGGGCCTCCGGCGGAGGGTCGGGTGTCGCCTTCGCTGTTCGACAGCTGGAGCAGGAAGACGAAGAAGCGCAGCGCGTCCACCCTGCCGGCGCCCCGCAGAGACAGCCTGCCGTCGGACCGGACGTCCCGCCTCCTGCAGGAGAAACAGATGCTGATGGAGGAGGTCAAGGCTCAGAAGGTGACCAATCACTCGCTAATCAGATACAGAAGGCTTTATTGATCTGGGTAAAACACACACGCTGTAGTTTATTCGGTCCAACATACACGGGCCTGCTGCCCAAACACTCACTACAGCACCTCCTGTGGATTCATCCGCCGCTGAAAGTAGTCCCCAACAGATGCTCTCTAAATCTGTTTAAAGATTTATGTCTTCAGGAGGAACCAATGAGCTCGCAGCTGAGAGCCACAGACAGGAAGTCAGACAGGACCGAGAGACGGACTTTCTGGATCTCTCAGGTTTTTCCTTCTGATGCATTTTCTCAGCTCAGACGGACATTTAACGTTTGTGTGAACATGTTAAACGTGTCGATGCTAATCTGATAGATGCTAACACCAACAACATATCGGCTTGTTTGGGAACCAACATGACGACAGAAACAGTTAAAGCTGTCAGGAGAGCGAGACCCTGTAAAGCTCATCAGAGCTGCTGCTGTTCACATTTCGTCAAACTGTCCACGTTGACAGCAGCTGAGTCAGCTGTTAGCAGCTCCTGTTAGCAGCTCGCAGATTCTCAGGAGGTTCTGCAGAGTCTCTCTGGTTTCTCAGCTGATTTCTGGACATTTGTTCAGGACAGACGTCAGAGATCATGATGTCCTTGGGAAGTGAAGTCACACTGAATGATTGATATGTTTTCCACGTTGGTGAGTTCAGATCTGAGTTCTGAGGAGGAGCAGAGGTTCCTGACTCCGACTCACCTCCTGCAGCATCTCTTGAACGTCCCTATTAGACACCAGATCCTGTCCTTTCACCAGGGTTAAAATGCAGTTTGGATTTAATGAATTAAATTAAAGGAGGAGAACAGTGAAGATTTCTCTTCCACATCCATCCAATTCTACTTATGATATCCAGTTCTTATTAAATCTCAGTTCTGGTTCCTTCACCTCAGATCTTGTCAGCACCCGGTGACCTTCTTCCCCTTCATGGCTAAAGTGAAAGGAGGGTTCTCAGTCTGCATCAATCTAAGTCCAGGCAGATACCCGGGTTTGTTCTCAGTCCGTCCGTTTTACCGAGCCTGCATCGGGTGGTGACCTGTGTGGACTTTGGATAGCCAAGTATCCCAGAATGGATTTCGTACCAACTAGTGGGAGTTATAATACTGCTGTGTCACTGAAAGCAGAGTTTTTTAGGCGAGAATATCGTCGTTTAAACTTCAAATCTGTGGTCGATATATCAAGGACGTCCGGCATGCCAGCTGCCAGTTAAACGTGACCGCCATCAGGTTCGCTGTACCCGGTATTGAGAAAAGCCCAAATACTCTCTTACACTTTTATGGACTGTGAAATGCTCTCTGCAGTCCAATCAGAGAAGCAGAATCCAAACGCTCGGGTCTTATTGAGTCCACGGTTCTTGGACATTTGGTACAGATCTTGTACAAAACCCCACTGTTCATCCTGTCTGAGCGGAACTTTATTCTGTAAACAAGAATTAAAATTCAAACGAGTAAAATCACATGTCCATTATTTAGAACACAGCTTCAAAGAAACATCACGCCCACTTTTATTCTTTTTATTAATAATATTGATGGTGCTGTGTCCGGTCCAGGAGCTGGTGTGGATCCTCCACAAATCCTTGGAGGCGTCTCAGCTGGAGAAGCGCAGCTGTGCGGAGTTCTTGGCGGAGGAAGGCGAGCAGGAGCGTCTGGAGCTGCTGCGACACCGCGAGCGGCAGGCGGCCGACCTGCGAGACCGGCTGGAGGAGGCGAAGACGGAGGTGGAGGAGAAGAAGAGCAGCCTGGCTCAGAGAGACGCGCAGCTGGCGGAGCTGCAGGAGAACATCAGGATGCTGAAGGAGAAGAACGAGGCCAAGCAGGAGGTGAGGTCACACCTGAGGACAGGTGAACTGCAGGCACCTGGTGGTGAAGGATGTTGGTTTTGTGTTCGCTATTGTGATGCTTCTCATTCTGACAGATTTACTCTGCTGCTCACATCTCAGGACAGGGACAGAAAACATAATAACTGATCTCAGACCAGGTGTATTGATTACAAGATGATCAGAAACCTTTCAGGTGCAGGTGTGATTCATTCTGGATCAAACAGAAGAGAAGGCGCAGAATATATTCACCTGAACCGCAGAATCATCCCACTCAGAGTGCATTTTAGACAGAGTCAGAGGAAATGAAGACAATGTGGTGTTTGTCTTGTTGTGTTGTTTTGTTGGTGTTGTGGAGTTTGTCTTGTTGTGTTGTTTTGTTGGTGTTGTGGAGTTTGTCTTGTTGTGTTGTTTTGTTGGTGTTGTGGAGTTTGTCTTATTTTGTTGTTTGTGATGTGATTGTTGTTTTGTTGGTGTTGTGGTGTTTGTCTTATTTTGTTGTTTGTGATGTGATTGTTGTTTTGTTGGTGTTGTGGTGTTTGTCTTATTTTGTTTGTGTTGTGTTGTTGTGGTGTTGTTTGTTGTGTTTGTGTTGTTTTGTTGGTGTTGTGGTGTTTGTCATTTTTTGTTTGTGTTGTGTTTGTGTTGTTTTGTTGTTGTTGTGCTGTTGTTTGTGATGTTTGGGTTGTTTTGTTGGTGTTGTGGTGTTTGTCTTATTTTGGTTGTGTTTGTGTTGTTTTGTTGGTGTTGTGGTGTTTGTCATTTTTTGTTTGTGTTGCGTTTGTGTTGTTGTGGTGTTGTTTGTTGTGTTTGTGTTGTTTTGTTGGTGTTGTGGTGTTGTTTGTGATGTTTGGGTTGTTTTGTTGGTGTTGTGGTGTTGTTTGTGGTGTTTGTCTTGTTTTGTTGTTTGTGATGTTTGGGTTGTTTTGTTGATGTTGGTGTTGTGGTGTTTGTTTTGTTGGTGTTGTGGTGTTTGTCTTATTTTGTTTGTGTTGTTTTGTTGATGTTGGTGTTGTGGTGTTTGTCTTATTTTGTTGGTGTTGTGGTGTTTGTTTTGTTGGTGTTGTTTGTGATGTGTTTGTGTTGTTTTGTTGGTGTTGTGGTGTTTGTTTTGTTGGTGTTGTTTGTGTGGTCGATGTTGTTTTGTTTGTGTTGTGTTTGTGTTGTTTGTCTTGTTGTTTTGTTTGTGTTTTGTTGTTTGTGTTGTGTTGTAGCGATGAAAAGATGAATGAAGTTTAGAGTGCCCGTGTGGTGACTCCTGTTGTTTCCTGTCAGGTGATCATAAAGCTCTCTGAGCAGGTGAGCGCCTACATGGCCGACCCGCGTCGACCCATCTCGTCCTCCGGTGGCAGTTTGGACTCTCAGACCTTCAGACGGCTTCAGCAGGAGGTCGAGAACCTGAAGGTGAAGTGAAACTCTTTGATCCAGCAGAATCTTGACACACACGAGCACGGTCGGTCTGAACTTTTGAATCTGGTCTTCAGGACGATATCGAGGCGTATAAGTACCAAAACAAGTTCCTGAACTCTGAGATCTACCAGCTGACCAAACTGTGGAGGAGGAGCTCCGAGCAGGAGAAGAGCCTGATGGTGAAGGTGGGTCCACCTGGGATTAATTTCTTCATTACTGTGTTTGGTGCCTGACACTCTGTTTCCTGCCCTGTGATTGGCTGCAGTGTGCCTACCTGGAGGCCAGCAACTGTCAGGTGGAGAGCCGTTACCTGGGCGTCCTGCGCACGCTGCAGGAGGCCAAATCTCTGGATCCGGTGCAGCGCGGGGCCGTCCAGAAGATGATCGAGGACGCCCTGAAAGGAGAGCTGAAGAGCGTCGTCAGGCTCAGCGCGGCCAGGTAACCGGGACAGCCCCGGCGCCGGGTGGACAGAATAACAGGAACGCCTGGCTCAATGATGGAGGGAGATTTAAAAACTTTGTCCTTTGTGTCCTCAGAGATCACGACGAGTACGGCTTCAAAATCATCCCAGACTATGAGGTGGAGGACATGAAGCTGCTGGCAAAGATTCAGGCGCTGGAGATCCGCTCACACAACCTGCTGCACCAGGTCCGAAGCCTCCGGTACCATTCATCAGGAAACCTGATGAACGCCTGTCATAGATATTAATAAGTAAAGCCTGGAGACCAACAGTCTTTTTCAAGGTTGATTTTGACATTTAACCTTTTTATTTATGAAGAAAAATGAAAAACTGGGCTGATTCATCTGCTGATCATTTTTATATTTAACTGATTATTTTGAAGTTGACTGTTTAAAGAGCAGCGGAGCCACAACACGCAGCTTTTCATCTGAAATTAAGTTTTTGAACTTTATTAAATGTTTACCTGGAAGGAAACGCAGCAGCACCTTCCAAAGTGTTTTACAGAAAAACAGAACGCAACCGGCCACCTTTGGAGAACCGGTCCGTGCTGGTGTATTTAACGTCTCTGTGGGTTCTCCTGCAGGACGGCGTGCAGCACCCCCTGTTGAGTCGCTGGGCTCAGTACCTCGCCGGCAGGTCGGACGGTGACCTCTGTCCCTCACCGGAGCTCAAAGGCCTGATCCGAGGCGGCGTCCCTCAGGAGTACCGACAGCGGGTGTGGCGCTGGGTGGTCCGAGCCAGAACCAGGACGATCAGAGAGCATCACCCGCAGCGCTACCAGCAGGTATACAGGAAGTACACTGAGAACACCTGACCCACACTTGTCTGCAGTGTCACCTGTCACACCTGGATGTAGAGGGACGTTGTTAGTGACCTCACAGTAATCCAGCTTCTGCGTTCCCAGCTGTGTGAGAAGAGTCGGACGTCTCCTCATCCGGCCTCCAGACAGATCCAGCTGGACCTCCACCGCACCCTGACAACCAATCAGCGCTTCTCCTCACCATCTAGCCCCGTCCTCCAGCAGCTCAGCCGCGTCCTATTGGCCTTCTCCTGGCAGAACCCTGACATTGGCTACTGCCAGGGACTCAACAGGTGCTCACACACACCTTTGTTCTTACCTTTCCTTAACCGAGCCCCGCCCTAAAACCAGGTTGCAAACTGTCTTTAAAAACAACGTGAGATGTGACCTCTGATGTGACGTGTGACCTGTCATGTGACGTGACTTGTAACCTGTCATGTGACGTGACCTGTCATGTGATGTGACTTGTAACCTGTCATGTGACGTGACCTGTCATGTGATGTGACTTGTAACCTGTCATGTGACGTGACCTGTCATGTGATGTGACTTGTAACCTGTCATGTGACGTGACCTGTCATGTCATGTCATGTGATGTGACCTCTAATGTGACTTGTAACCTGTCATGTGACGTGACCTGTCATGTGATGTGACACGTGACCTGTCATGTGATGTGACACGTGACCTGTCATGTGATGTGACACGTGACCTGTCATGTCATGTCATGTGACCTCTAATGTGACTTGTAACCTGTCATGTGATGTGACCTGTCATGTGACGTGACCTGTCATGTGATGTGACACGTGACCTGTCATGTCATGTCATGTGACCTCTAATGTGACTTGTAACCTGTCATGTGATGTGACCTGTCATGTGATGTGACTTGTAACCTGTCATGTGACGTGACCTGTCATGTCATGTGATGTGACCTCTAATGTGACTTGTAACCTGTCATGTGACGTGACCTGTCATGTGATGTGACACGTGACCTGTCATGTGATGTGACACGTGACCTGTCATGTGATGTGACACGTGACCTGTCATGTGATGTGACACGTGACCTGTCATGTCATGTCATGTGACCTCTAATGTGACTTGTAACCTGTCATGTGATGTGACCTGTCATGTGACGTGACTTGTAACCTGTCATGTGACGTGACCTGTCATGTGATGTGACTTGTAACCTGTCATGTGATGTGACTTGTAACCTGTCATGTGATGTGACTTGTAACCTGTCATGTGATGTGACTTGTAACCTGTCATGTGACGTGACCTGTCATGTGACGTGACCTGTCATGTCATGTGATGTGATGTGACCTCTAATGTGACGTGTGACCTGTCATGTGATGTGACTTGTGATGTGACGTGTGACCTGTCATGTGACGTGTGACCTGTCATGTGACGTGACTTGTAACCTGTCATGTGATGTGACTTGTGATGTGACGTGTGACCTGTCATGTGACGTGTGACCTGTCATGTGACGTGACTTGTAACCTGTCATGTGACGTGACCTATATGACAGCAATCTCACAATGTGAGCAACACAAAGGAGGCCAACTCTAGCTGCTAGCTGCACAGCTGTAGGGTTAGCCGGTCGACATGCATCCAATCGCTGACATTTAGGCTCGCGATGCCCTGAGATGAGAACAGACGACAACACACGAATAATTATGAACAGGCACATTTTCGGTAACCTTCTTTAACAGACAGGACTCTGACAGTGTCGTGTCACGCGTCTCTCAGGTTGGCGGCCATCGCTCTGCTGGTTCTTCAGAGTGAAGAAGACGCCTTCTGGTGTCTGGTGGCCGTGGTGGAAACCCTCATGCCTCAGGACTACTACACCAAGAACCTGGTGGCCTCTCAGGTCAGGAAGCACACTCACCTGTTCACCTGTTCACCTGTTCACCTTATCTCCCCACCACCTGTGTCCTCTGCTGGTCGTTATAGTATAGTTTAGTTAGACTCCATTTAAACCCAAATTAATTAAATTATTATCAGGAACTTAATTATTTGGTGTCTGGAGACAGATTTTACATTTGCTCTGCAGAAGCTTCAGGTGAGTTTAGAGTCACCTTCTTTTGTAGCAATCTGTCGGACATGAAGTATTTTAGGTCAACTCTCTGAGAGTGAGCTGTGATATTTCATGAGTGTGCAGGCTGATATTTCAAATGTGATGGTGATGTTTATTTTACCTCACGTGTGTCCAGCCTTCTAACCCACTCACAAGTACTTTTTATATTTCCTGCATGTGTTTTGTATTTACGTGAAACAAATAAAAAATGAAGCATCGTATGTGAACTGATCTCAGTCCTGCTGAGAATCTGCAGCTGATCTCTGATTGGTCAGTGTTGGTGACTGATGGTTCCTGCGTTCAGGCTGACCAGCGGGTGCTGAAGGACTTCCTGACGGAGAAGCTTCCCCGGCTCGCGGCTCACTTTGAGGATCACAGCATCGACGTGTCTCTCGTCACCTTCAACTGGTTCCTGGTGGTTTTTGTGGAGAGTCTCCCCAGCGACATCCTGCTGCCCCTGTGGGACGCCTTCCTGTACGAGGGCACCAAGGTACCGAACACCTGCCCGCACCACGGCAGACAAAAAAGGTCTTTAAGTCTTAAAGATGTGAATGTAGAAGGTGAAGCTCACAGTAACTGTAGCGGCTGCAGATGTAGTGGAAGATAAACACGATGTCTCCTAAATGAAAATACTCCAGTGAACGCGCCGGACAGTAATATAGACTCTAAACTGAGCTCTCAAAAACAAGGAAAAAAGCAATAAAATGGGGGAAAAATTACTTAAAATAAGCAAAATTCTGCCAACAGAACGAGAATATTTCACTTGCTACTAAAGGATAAAAAAAACGTTGAAACTCTCTAACATAAAAGCCGCCTGGTAAGAAGAAACATCTTGTCAGACAAAAAACAAGTATGTTTTGCCTTCAGTTAAGATTATTAATCTTACTTGGATTTTAGGTTTTGCAGTGTTGAATGGGAAAGACTGAAGTGATCCTGAAACTCCAGGAGGCGACGCGTAGAAAGAACCAAGCACTCACTTTAATAATTCACGTTCTGGATTTATTTGCAACTTATCACCAGAGTCTTTAGATCCTTTACTTCAGTATAAGTACTAAAACCTCACTGTAAAAATACTCTGTTACGAGCAAAAGAACTTAAGTTAAAGGATGTGAGTTTAATCAGGAAAATGTAATTAAAGTATTAAAAGTAAAAGTACTGTGTCCTGTGTTGTAATAGTAAATATCAGGTATACATAAAATCTTTCTTATTCCTTTGACGCCTTTTGGAGGATTGAGACTTGTTTGTAAGAAAAAAGCAGAGATCCTTACGTTTGGTTCAAAATATACGCGATTTATTAAAAAAATGGTTTCACCAGAACTTATGAACGTTACGTTGTTCTGATGTTAATGTGCTGTTCGTTCTACCTGCTGAGATTAGTTTAACAGATATTTCAAGTTTCCAAACGTAAAGTCCAAAGTTTAAATTTCGTCATCTAAAATGTCAATAGATAAAACATTTAAATACAAATCATCTTGTTTTTTATATAAATGAACCTGCCTCTCACAGTATTCTGACAGTGAGATGCGCTGCAGAGGTGGCGTCTAGTGATGTGCAGAGTAATAACCTCTCTGATCAGGAAGGTAACTCATTAAAGCTCAAACACACAGCCTGTAGAAATCTGTTTACCCATGATCCATCAGGGGAGCTGCCGTCCTGTTAAGGGGAGCCATAGTTTGCACCCTGCCTACAAACTCGACCGGTGGTTTCCAGCAACAGGAAATAACGTTACTCGTCTACTCGTAGGTTTGTTTTTCTGCTGCTGAAATGTTTCTCGGTGAATTATTAAAAAACAAAACGCCTCTTAATTTAGTTTTAAAATGCGTTACAGCAAAAAGCAACACGTTACTGTTACGTTACTTTTTGAACACGTTCCTCCCAACACTGCTCCTTCACAATGTGTGTTTTCTCTAACCAACGTTATTACAAATAAATTTAAATATTTAAAAAGGAAAAGCAGCAAATCTTCACATGAAATATTTTTAAAATATTATTTTATTAACGACTAATCCTGTCAGCTGTACCTGTATAAACTGTTTAATTTATAACTAAACATCATCTTTTATAAACTCTTCATGTGTAAAACTCTGACTTTGTAAAGTAACTGAAGCTGTCAGATAAATGTGGTGAAGTAAAAAGTCCAACATCTCCCTCTGAGACGGAGCAGGAGGAGAAAATACTCGAGTAAAGTACAAATACCTCTAATAAGTACTTGTCTGAACTACTTCGCTAACCATGTGGTCACATATAGAATATACTTTATTGTCCTAAAGGGGAAATTGTCATGGAGTGTGTAGTGCAGAGTAGTAGCTGCCCTTACAGACAATAAATACACAAAAAATACAAATAACAGCTGAAGACAGACACGTAGGCTACACACACGACACATCCAATAAACGATTAACACTAAAATAAAATACAAACAACAAGCAGAACACCAAGTTATTGCACACTTCCCAGGCCTCAGCGTACAGATGTATTTAAAATTTTGAGGGCAAAGGCCTCGTCTGTGAAGTCCTGCTGAATGAAAGGAAAGTGCTTCACGCTGTCTGAGGCTGAAACGACAGCTCAGACCTGCTGAGTCCAGGGCTGCGTCACGTTTCCATCACTAATGAAGGTTCCTGCCGTGAGATCTCTGGGCGCAGTCACGACGTTGGGAATGCTAAAACAGAGTCGTGAAAAGAGACCTTTACTGTGAGGTCACCTGTGTGGTTTGTGTTGCAGGTGATCTTCAGGTACGCTCTAGCTCTCTTCAAATACAAAGAGGACGACATCCTGAAGATCCGCGACAGCGTGGAGATCTACCAGTACCTGCGCTTCTTCACCAAGACCATCTCTGACGGCAGGTAAACGCTCGCCTGGGCTCAGGACCCCGTCTTTTCAGGTCAAACCGGTAACAGGAGAAAGAGCAACGCAAGTCAGCCAGGTCCTCAGGTCCTTTATCCGACAATAAAGGGCTCCAAGCTTTGTCGGACTTCTTCTCAGGACTCTGTCTTCATCGTGTGTGCATCATCAGTCGGGTTTAAAGCCTCTGTCAGGTGTGTGTCCTGTCTCTGAGGTGTGATGCTGCCACCTGCTGGAGACCCGACACAGATCCTGTAAACTGGACCAGGGGTCTCATTTATAAAGCTGTGCGTAGAATCCTCACTAAAAGTGTCCGTGCGCCCAAAAGCCAAAAATATTCAGTCTTATAAAACCGTGCGAAGCAAAGCTCCCCACTAACTTACTGATCTGGATTCCCCCGTTTGAAAAGAGAGGAAACCGAAAGACTTCCTGAGTTTAAACATTTCTTTCCACAAACAGTCTGACGAGTTAAAGAAATAGGACTTGTAGTAAATGACAAACTGTTTTATTTTCCATAACGTGTTTTTACAGGCGGCGCGTCACATCCACACGCTGGCGCTCGGCGCTCGGCTCCGTAAGGCGACGAACGTGTGAGAACAGTAAACGAAACTCTGCTCTGGTGTTTGCTCGACTGAAGACGGCGTCAGTTTAAATGTTCACCTTATTGAGGAGAATAAACTGCTGCATGCAGGTATTAATGAATCTGATTCCTGATTAAACTGTCCAACACATCTGAGGCGCTTTTGCAGAAACAGAATCTCTGTTTGTGTTTCTGATCCTGAATCTGGATCTTTTTAAGGCTGCAAATGATCTTAATGATGATTTTTTGGTGAAAATCAGTCAATCAGGTGTTTGTTTGTTTATTCAGAAAGGCTTTAAGCCTGGAATACTAGAGGGAATATTAGGATTTATTTTACACTCTAATATTCATTTTAAAGCGTTTCATCCTTCTGCCGTGTGAGGCGCCATTTCTCTTCTCTCCTCTTTATGTGCGTACGCATGCTTCAGAGTTTACTTCCAGGACGCACTTTCTCCCGTCAGCTCGGCTTTTATAGATCCCAACCTTTGCTTGTGAAGCGGCGTCCGCAAGTTTCCAGCCCTGTTTTGGACGTTCGCACCGTTTAGAAATGAGGCCCCTGGACTGCAGTCTGTCCCGTGTTCACTGTGGAGAAGTTTAATCAGAGCAGTCTGGAAGTGAGTCAAATGTCGGGCCGTGTTTTCCTGCTGCAGGGTCCTCTGCTCAGATAAGTTTGTTGATACTGAAGATACTGAGAGTTTAGTCTGAACACAGTTTCTGCTCAGGGTCGATACGAGTTTTCCACTATTTAGAGAGCAGGATGGGAAAACAAAGTATCGTCCATGATCTCGCAGCAGTAACCTGGTTCAGATATCAGAGCTGAAATATAACGTGCAGCTCTTTTAAGAAAAATCAATGAATAATTTTTATATAAAATAATAAACACATAAAAACTACTTTAAAAAAGTTGCTGTTGTGATTTGCTGCTGGTTCCCGTCATGAAGATGAAGCTGTTAAATGTTGCTGTTGCTGTTTGGTCGTGCAGGAAGCTGACCAGCGTCGCCTTCAACGACATGAACCCCTTCCCCAGCCGCCTGCTGAGGAACCGGCGAAGGCTCCACCTGGAGCGCCTGCAGGGGGAGCTGCGAGAGCTGGAGGAGCAGCAGAGGGCGTTCGTAACGGAGAGCGCCGTACGTAAAGACAAAGAGGTGGACACCATGGTCAGCGAGGACGACGAGGAACTCTGATGAGGGTTTCTGACACACGGCTGATTCTGACCTGCCGGACCCGAGGCTGCAGAGTCGGCGTCTGTAATTATCGTACTGCTGTTGCTCATAAACCTGTCGACACCTGGATGGAGTTCACATGAAACCAGCGGCCTGAGGACCCAGTCTCAGGTCGTCTTCTTCTTCTTCTTCTTCCTTTAATCTCTGGCACAGGAAGTGTACCGCTGCCTCCACAACATTTTTTTTCTTTGCATATAGACACAGAGACGCACATTACTGCCTGGTTCCGCAGGTGAGTCAGGGTCGGACCTGCTGATTCACAACTGACAAAAACACCAGAAGAAGAACTTTTAGCGATTTAGTTCCAACAATAACACTTCAGTCAGCGTCGGCTAACAGCTGTCCCTGAGCTAACGCATGAACGAACGCCGTTTATGACCCATGACGCAGTTAGCTAACAACTACACTACAACCTGGGACACTTGCACACAGTCTGAGATGACAGCGAACGCATCATGTGATATTCAGTGGTCTCTGCACAGGTGCCTGAAGTCTGTTTAATGAGCTGAACAGCTGATGAGGATGTTAACGGTCTGAACCCGCCTGTCCTGAAGCTCTGTCCCCTTCATGTCTGTACAGTTTGTGGTTTAATATGTCAGTGCTGCAAAACAAAAACGTCAATAAAGCGAAGCCCAGTTTATTAGTTCCTCTTTATTTCCCAGTGAAACTACCACACTTGCTCTTTATCCCACGGAAAGGATCCCGTTAGCTCCATGCTAACGTCAGCTAGCTAACAGCGTTGTTTCATCAGAGGAAGTGAAGCTGCTGTATTTTCTGATAGCTGAAATGTTCGCTCAGGAGAACAACAGGGATGGCAACACGGCCGCCAGCCGGAGGTCAGCGGTTTGTGGAAGAGACGACAGGAAAAGGCCAAAGTGTTGAAAGAACTGTTGTCAGCAGAGAGCGAGAACACGTCAAAAGGTCCTGCACAGGAGCGTCCCGCTACTTTTGGCCAAATAGTGTGTGTTGATTCTGTGAAATATTACAGAATGCGCTAATAAAATATAAGTGACGTTCAGTTTAGAGCTGAAACCATCAGTCAGACGTGCTTCTGTGGTCTGAAGACCTCCGAGACGCTGGCGGAGGTGAAGTGATGAACAACAGAAGACGTCAGTCACACGTTCAACTTTTCCATTTTATTATTTTTCTTAAAAAACAAATATACATAATAAGAAATGATAAATATAAAAAACCCAGAACAAAATAAAAAGTTCTTCAATGTTACAAACAACTGCTCACCTACACACTAGTGTTACGTTAAACTTACGTGTCAGCCTAAAGTCTGAACTTGTCTCTACGTACGCTGCCGGCCCTCGTGCGAAGACGAGTCACGTGTGAACGGAAACGTTTTCCGTCCTGCGACTCCGACGGCAGATTATTCGGAGCAGAAGAACGGGGACATGCAACTTGTTCTGGAGGAAGGAAGCCGAGGAACAAAACGGCCGAACCACGACGATCGAAAACACGCGACGTGACGTTTTAACAGTGAATCGATAGCACGTTAGCCGTTAGCTCAGCAGCTAACTAACGACGTCACCGAGCTGCCGGCGTGAACGCGTGTCTACTGACAACTTTTATTATTTAAGTTTCCGACACGTGAATATTTCCTGGTTTAATGGAACTTTTCTTTCAACCAATCTCAGTTTCTCTTGTAATCAGAACCAGACGGAGACGTTCAGGTTTTCGGTCGGTCCGTTTGGACTCTGGGACATTATTAACCGCGTCGTCGCTTCCAGCTCTAGCTGTTCATCAATAATCAGTTCGGCCGTTTGTCTGAAACGCTTCAGTTCCTGCAGTCAGCAGGTCAATCCGCCCGCCGCCGCGGTCACATGACCCAAACTAAACGTTGTTATAAATGTGAGAGAAGCAGAATTTAAATGTTTCCAACATTAAAGTTTCTTTTCAGGACGTTTGAATAAACGTGTGTGTTAATATCTGAGCTCCAAACATCCTCTTCAAACTGACTGAACTCTGTGTTCAGTGCGTTTAGTCGGCGTGTTCACAATAACGTCTTTTAATGCGACTCAGCTGCTCCTTTAAACTGCTCTCAGATCAGCTGTTTATCGTGTGAAGTGAAGGATGATGGGAACAGTCGCAGCCTGACCTCTGATCACACAAACACAACAGCTGCACTTTAAAACAGCGTTCGTCATCAGAGACACGCCGGCAGGTGTTTGAACTTTAGGAGCGACGACTCCACAGCTGTTCAAACCGCCAGGCTGAATCCAAACGTCCCGCTCACTTCCAGCGGCTGACTTCCTGCGGCTGACTTCCTGCTGCACTGATCGTGTTTTCACTTGTTTAATTCTGAGCCTATTAATTCGTCCCGGTGAAACCGTCAGAAACAGTGTAAATAATTCAAACTGTTTGATGGTTATGGCGTCCAGGACGGCGCCGGGCTTCTGTCCAACGTTCAGGATCTCTGCTGACACACAGCTCAGCTGTTCTAATGTTACCGGGCCGCCTGGTTTTGATCTGCGGATCTGCTTTAAATGAGTCCAGGATTCTGGTGACTCGTGGCGGCGGCGGCGACCTCTGGACGTTTGGATTCAGCTCGGCCTGCAGGGCAACAAGCTGCGGTTAGTCACCAGGAAGTGCTGGTTCTGGTTGCGTCGCCCAAATATGTGAGACAAAACCACTCAAAGGTCCACTTACTGGCTCTGCTCTGAGCTTTCGACCGAAACACACGGGGTGTGACCTCGCGGCCCTGCGACCTTTCTCGCCGGCCCATCGGCTCGTGTTGGACTGAACGTTAAATGTGAGACGGTGTGTTGGAGGAACAGAAGCAGGAAGACTTGTTGTTGATGTGGTCACATGACGCAGTTTGTTTTATTGCTGACGGTCTGAACTCAGCTGGCGCCTCCACAGGAAGCTCCGCCCACACACGTCTCACCTTCTTCTTCTGTGGATTTTAATGTGAAACAGCGCTTTGACTTCAAGCCGCGGCGGTTTCAGACGGTGAGGAGGAGACCCAACTCCAGGACAGGAAGTGTTCCAATCTGACTGTGGGTCGTCTCCGTCACAGATCAGCTGACGCGACGCCGACGCCCGTCACCGACTCCACGTCACAACAAAGCATTCAGAACCACGCTGCGAGCTGCGGGTCATGTGACGGACTACAGGCAGGTTCCTGGTAGCTCTGCTAGCCTGTTTGCTAGTGACGGAAACGTCAGCCGCCCTGCTCTGACAAAGTTCTGAAAGATTCTCTTTTGCATCCATAAAACTTTAAAATCGCGCTAGCTTGGCGACCCCTCGTTGGTCACATGACCCTCACCTTGCAGGCGCCCCGCCTCCGCGTGGAGGACCAGTTCATGACCTCGGCCCACATGGAGTCTGAAACAGGCGTCGCTGCAACGTGAGGCGTTCAACAGGCCGCCATCGGCGACCAATCGGATTCCTACTCCAGGGACAGGAAAGCTAGTTTCTATGACGACGGCCGGCGCCGGCGTGCTGCTGCAGGTTAGTTACTGTGAAGCACTCTGATAGAACACAACTTTATTTAGGAACAGAACTATTTACATGTTAAACAAACAAACCCAAATCATTAAGGCCGTGAAACTAGACACCAGGACCAGGACTGACTGAACCGGGTCGCACCGGTCGGACATGAGAACATGTGGCGGCGTCCAATCAGAAAGTGGTTTTAAGCGTCCACAAGCACCAGCTGCTGATCAATAATCCTCGTCCGTCCGTCACAGGTTTGGACTCAGAAAACACTTCACGTGAGAACATCTGGTGCAGCCGGGTCCAGGACCCCAGAACCAGGTTTAACCTCCACACGTTTGGTTTCTGTTCAGATCAGCAGCTTCGAACGGGCGAGTAAAACCTGCTGCGGGTGAAGATGCTCGTGTGGATCCAGCTGATCCGTTTGGATTACTGATTACACTCTGACCAAGTCTTGACGGGTCCAGCTGAACTCTGACCTGTTCAGATCTGCAGAGGGATTTTCATGATCTCACAGAAACCCTCCAGGACGGTTTCCTGGAAAGAAAGAGCCGTGTTGTTCGGAGCCGATCGGGGGGAGAACACTTTAAAGTTTAGTTCAGTCGGGTAAATTAATTAGCAGAGAAACTTCCATGAAAGAAACGCTCCATTTCAAAGCCAGTAATCATTTATATAAATCTATTTTAAATATTTTGTCCACCAACTGATCGCTTCTGGTTCTGTCTAGGAAACTTTCCAGGAAAACTAATCAGAACTGACAGATCCAGAGTTTTTTAGTCCAAAACACGGCAGCTCGTCTTCTAACAGGAACCCACAAGAACACACTCGACCTGTTCTGACCTCCCGCTCCGTTATACACTTCATCTGAACGTTTTAAGGTTTCTTTTTACGCCATCAAAGGTAACGAAACCGAGGGACAGAAACTCTTTAATAAAGGAGCTCCTCGGGCCGCAGTACCGCGACCGGCCGGGCGGAGGCGCCGGATCACATCTTTTAATCCGTCAGTGTTTGGAAAGGAAGTCGCTCCGCTTCTTCGTTTTAACGTACATTAAATTGATTCTCCACCTCAGCGAGTCTCTTGTGACGCCTTCAGGGTCTCAGAGGAGGCTGTGCGATAAATGTCCTCACCTGATGTCACCTGAGTCAGACCGAGGAGAGCTGCTGCTGCTAATCCCAAACGTCTGATTCTAAAAAATGATTATTGTGCTGCACACTCGTTTAGTCTTGTGTCATAAATCCAGAGCACTTTCCCTAAAAGCCCAAACTGCCTGTTAGAGCCGCCTTTCCTCTCCTCGCGCTAAAGCAGGTGAGCTGAGCGTCGTTCACCTGCTCTGTGCGGGTAAAACGTCCACGTGTCCCCGCCTGCTAACGTGTTACTGGATTTATAGTTTTCTAATTTGAGTCTCTGCGTCTCCAGACAGAACGCCGCGGTTTCCGAGGCGTCGAGTAGTTCACCTGCTCTGGTCCTGTTTTTAATTTCTAAAAATGAAGTTCAGTAAATTCACCACGTTTCCTACGTTGATCAGTAATTGTTAAATAATCGTGATTGTGATTTTTGCCACAACATCACAGAGGTGCATTGTGGGCGGCGTAGGCGACGGGTTTTGACGGAACGTGGCATAAAAAGAATTTCTGTCTTTCTGTACTCACACTCACTGTTTGGAGTGCACAAGCGTGTTCACACTGAAAAGTACGGCAAAATGTACCGTGAGTACCCGGGTGGCGTACCATCTGAGAGAGACCAGCTGGTTCTGATGCGTCGATGTGACGGTGAGTCCGACGGAGCTACAGCGGCGAGGCGATGATGAGAATTTATGAAATGTTGTGACCTGGATAAACGTTTTGTTGTTGTGGCGAGCAAGCGGGCGTCTGTGAGGTCATGAAAACTCCTGACACAGCTGATCTGAGGTCAGGCGTCAGGTGTCCACACTCGTAGAACAGCTGCTGTGTAGATCAACAGGAAGTGAAGTGTGTTTTAATGCTGCGGTTCCCAACCCCCGGCCCGCGGGCCAGTAGCCGGCCGCTCGAAGCCGAAGCAGGCGTCACCGTCTGCTGGATATTAAGCTGGCGGTCACTAATCGATCCGGTGCGTCGATCGATCCGCGTCCCGTCAGTCTCTCGCATTCAGACGAAACCTGATCAGCCGACCAGCAGGAGAGAAGCTGCAGCAGTCTGACCTTTGACCCCTCGGCCTCCGACACCAGATCTGGAGCATAATGGCTGATGACTCCGCCCATCCGATGATGTGACAGCGCTCCCGATGCAACATGGCGTCCAGGTGTGACCCGCAGCTCGTCATTAATAATCAACCAGAACAGCTGGAGGTGTTAGGAAGTGGCGTGTGAGCGCAGACGTGAGTTTGTTTATAAAAAAGGACATCGCTACGAAAGAATGCATCAGCCGGTTTAAAATCTGCAGCGCTTCAGTATAAAGTGCTTCATTACATTGTTACGTTTGTACAGTTTCTTATTAAAATACTGTTTTCCCTGGAGTGAAACCATAGTAAACATGTTACACGTTGGTAAAAATAAACATTTGGAATGTCTCTGTTGCTTTAAGAAGTCCCATTGGCTGATTTTGGTCAAGCTGAACTCGTCCCCGGAGCCTGAAACAGGAAACGAGCGCAGATGGTTAAAGGTTTCACGCTGCTGCACGGCGGTCAAACAAACAAACAAATGGGGAAGGGTGACGGGGGGGGGGGGTTAGGAGTGAGATGCAGGTGAGAGTGAAGCATCATGGGTAGTCAGAGCAGTCAGCGGGGCCGGAGTCCACCACCACACCAAACGGTGTTTTTCATATTTAATAAGTTACTTTATACTTTTATTTCCCATCGTCACAAACGGGCCCCTGACCTCCTGCAGAGGATTTAACGGGCCCTGGAGGGCCCACCTGAGGGAATCTGAAGTGACTGAAGGAGCCCGTCTGAAGCTTCGGCAGGAAACTGACGCGTCTCGTCGTGAACTCACATGTGTTTCGTTAGATGACAGCTGAGAAGCGTTGACGCCTTCTTACGGTTTGTTGCTTCCTCTCTGATAAACGGAACTCGTTAAAACCAAAACAGAGTTTCACATTTGAGGGTTTTAAATTCCGATATTCTTCAACTTTTCTTTTAACGAGGTCATCTTCTGCTTTCTGGCTTCTCCCCTCTGCTTTATTATGTTAAATCTTTTTTATGCATGTAAGAGGTTTGCAAAGTGAAAAAGCCCAAAGGGAGTTCCCAACTCCCACAGAAAACTCTGCTCCTGAACTGAACACTGGAGCCCTGAATACCTTGCTGGTAATTCTGTTGCAGAGCGCCCCCTGATGGACAAACTGTGCAACACTCTTGGAAGGAGGTGACTGAGCTTGACTGAAGGATCCGTCTCTCTTTTTAGTTTCATTTATCGACTGTTATAAACACTGATACCCATTTATCTGCAGTTAGCTCATATCGGCCGATTTATCTGTCGGGCTCTAACGAATATTTGTGTTTGTGCTGTGGTTATTTTTATTCTGGGCTTTTTCAGCAGGTCTGGTGGCTGAGAGCCTCTTTATTATTTATACATTTAAATAAAATAAATATTATTGTTAGACGTGATTTGCATTTCATTTCCCTACGAGACGGATTCCAAACTTGAGGGTCGGAAGATAAATTTGAGTAATGAGAGAAGAAAAAAAAAAACATTACTGTGACAGAAAATTATGTTAATTCTCCCAAACGTTGCTCTTTGTTTTCTCTGAATCATTTTATTACTTTGGACAAAGAAAACAACTTTGTTCTTTGCTTGTTTTAAGGAGCTAAAAGGACCACGAGGCCGGAGGGCATCCGAAGCCCTGAATACTTTATTCTCTGGAGGCTGTTTCTTATCTCAGATTTGGTCTGAAGTGAATTATCAGAGGAAGCTAGGACCCAGCGGACACCGTCTCTCTGTGGTCTGGACTCATTCAGATTAATGATCCAATCATGTTGCCGAGTCCGTAAAGCAGCGCGGTGAGAAAATAAGGCCGGACAGAAAAACAAACAACAACAACAAACAAACAAACGTTAAGAAAACTGTTTAAATATAAAAGATACAAAAGTAAAAAACACAAACTGACACGTCAGCAGAAAGTCGATGACGAGGACGAAGCAGCTGTGATGATGATGATGATGGGAAAGAGTCAAGGTAGCATGCCTCAGTGTTCATCCAATCAACATGCATCAGTTAGCACATGTCTGTTAGCATGCATCAGTTAGCATGTGTCTGTTAGCACGTGGCGGTGACGGCGGCTGATTTGGTTCTGGAGGGGGCGGGGCTTGGCGTGTGCAGCAGGCTGACAAAGAGGAAGAGGGTGGAGGTGGGCAGGCAGACGCAGAGGAAGAGGACGACGTCCTCGCTGAGACAAAGGACGAGGTCGCTCTGCTCCGTCAGCACCCAGTCAACCAGCACCCCCACCAGCAGGTAGTACACCTGGAACTCCTGAAGCTCCTCCCACTCCTCCTCCCACAGCCCCGCCCCCACATCCTGCGACGAGCTCTTCCGCCTGGCCACGCCCCCTCCGCTGTCACTCACCATGGGCTTCATCTCCGCCCCCTCCGACACCGCCTCCTTCACCCGGCTCCGCCCACGCTCCACCGCACGCTCTAACCGCCGGCTGCTCTCCACGAACTCCTGCAGGGGCGGGGTCACAGGGGAAGGGGCGGGGTCACGGGTTGAGGGAGATAAACAGTCAGAAGGACAAAAAACTCCCACAATTCTCTGCAGCTTGAGGCTCACAATATCATTACCATCACAATCAACATCTGAACGTCTGAAGGTGAAGTGACCTCAGGATGTGTGATGTCACTTCCTCCTTGGTCGTCTCTGCAGTTCTCAACGCTGTTCTTTTATTACTTGTTTCAACTTTTTATTTTACTTCCTGTAGCACATTTCTGCTTTATTCAAGTTAAAACAACTTAACGACGTTTAAACTAGTTTCCATTTCAGGTTAAGAGGATTTAAACTCCTGGTTACATGCGTGAGCTCGTCGTCAGGGGACACCTGTACTTTCTTGTTCACCACAAAAAGTTGATATTTTAGTTGGAAATTGAACGCATGACGGATCTGCAGTCAATCGTGTCCTCGCTTCAGCTTTGCCATAATTTAAAGTGAGTAGGGCTGCAATTATTTTCTTAGTTGATTAATCTGTTGATTATTTTCTCAATTAATCGATCAGCTGTTTGTCTATAAACTGTCAGAAAATGGTGAAAATGTTTTAAAAATCAGTGTTTCCCAAAGCCTGAGACGACGTCCTCAAACGTCTCGTTTTGTCCGCAACCCAAAGAGCTTCAGTTTACAGAGGAGCAAAGAAACCAGAGAATATTCAGACTTAAAAAGCTGGAATCAGAGAATCTTTTCTGTTTTTCACTCAAACTGATTTAACCAATTCATTGAATAACTGTTCCAGCTCTAGTTTAAAGGTCCAGTGTGAAATATTTCTGAGGATCTGTTGACAAAAATGCAATAAGATCCATAACCATGTTTTTTTTCCTTACATAATAAAGTAAGAAGAGAAATTTGGACAAACGCTGGACGGCCGCCGTAGCTGAAACGTGTCACAGCTCGTTGACTTAAAAGATGAAATTACAGTTTGGACTTCTGTCACAGACTGCCGGCTCCTCCTATTGGTTGGTTTTGTGAATTAAAGAGGTGGTATTCTGCTTTTTGGCTTTTCCCCTCTCCTTCATTGAGTTATTTACCTTTTTTGTGCATGTAACAGGTTTGCAAAGTGAAAAAGCCCAAAGGGTTCCTGTTCTGGTCCAGCCCCTAAATAAAAATACCACCACCTCTTTAAAGACCCGGCGTGTTCAGGCGGCTGCCGTCTCACCATCAGAGCTTTGTCCATGAAGAACTCCTTCCCCGGAGTGCCGTCGTTGTACTTGGTGTCGATGGCGAAGCAGAGGAAGAGGACGTCCACCACGATCTCAAAGATGGACAGGAAGCAGTGAGCCACCAGGAAGGAGAAGAGACACACGATGATCAGAGGCAGCAGCCACTCGGCGTAATCCCGCTGGTAGTTCAGGAGGAGGACGCCGGCGAACGCCGTCGACGTCACGATCAGGATCTGAGGTAACACACAGATTTAAAGGTGTGGGAGACAGACGGCGTCCTTACATCTGGAGTTTGAGAACAATCTTCATATAAATGTCAAAGAAACTGAAAATTCTGAGAATAAAGAACAAAAACAGAGAATTCAGTCCACCAGAGACACCCGGACCGCCCGCCTCATTTACCCTGGGGACGCAGGGGACATGTCCCCACCGCTTTCTGAAAGCATTTGTTAAAAATGTTCTGAAAAATAGCAACAACAAAAAAGTTAAATAACAAATGTTAGTGTTAAGAGAGAGTTTTTTTGGCACAATAAGATATAAAACATATAATGAAATGTAAATATAGAAAGAAACAGATCTGCATTGTCCAAAAAAACTATTTACTGATTACTGCATTTTACTCTGTTCGTCTCCTGCCAGCTGAATTTTGTTCCCCTTAATATAAATAAAGACATTTATTGGTGCAGAAAATGTCTCCAGAATGCAGGAAATGAAGTAATTAATGCTCAAAATCCTCTGGGGGAGGAGCCTCAGACCCCCCCAGTCATATATTTCATCAATGAATATTTCTTACAGTGAGCTGAGATCAGTGAGTGATCAGGCGATAGTGACGTTCCAACTTTGAGCAGCTGGAGAAAAGCAACTGCGGCCGCCAGACTCAGCGCCTGCGGCCGCCTTGCTCCTGCGACGTTTTAATGTCATGTGACACGGTGACGTTTTGCAGCGCCAGCGAAAGTCGGACACAATTTCTAGCCAGCATGCTTCCCGTTACGTCAGCGCTGCGCAGCGCCGCAGGAAGTCAAACGCACCTAATGTCTGTGATCTTTCCTGTAGCGCCGCCATCAGGACAGACCTAAACCTAAATACACTTCCTGTGTCGTGTTCTTCTTCTGTCTTCTCACAGCGCTTCCTTCTCTCCCCAGATATTTACCTGACTGATGCTGCGCACGCTAACAGCTCCTACTGGTATCTGTAGTGACTCGCACTGAAGCTCGTACGTTGCTCCTCAAATGAAAGTCGCGTCTGTGAAATGAGTAAATGTAAATCTTGACTCGGTCAGTTTGGTTTACTTGGCCCACTGGATCAGAACCAGCTGGTCGGAAACGCCCGTGAGATCCGTACTCACCTTCCCCAGGAAGAGCACAAAGTCTCCGACGGCGTTGATTGTGGCGACGCGCAGAGCGTTCTCCACCAGGATCACGAAGGCGTCGCGTGCAGACGTGCAGAAACTGGTGCTGTTGATGGCCGTGGCTGCATATGCATTCTGGGAAATAAGAGCACAGGTGAGACGTCAGGATGAAACCGGACGAAGAGGAGGAGGAAGGTCTGAGTGTTACCTGGTTGAGATAGTTGAGGCACTTCTCCAAACACCACAGACAGCAGATACACGTCTTCAGCAGACAGCGAGCGCACGCGTTCTCCTGCGACACAGACGGAACACGATGAAAAACCAAACCAGCAGATCAGAATCAGGTGAGTCCGACAGGTGAGTCCCGGTTCTGTACCTTTCCTTTGAGCTGGTTGTGGATGTACATGAGGACGAGTCTGGGGACCTTGACCAGCGTGATGATGAAGGATCCCTTAGCGACGGTGCCCAGGTGATACCTGACCAGCCTCAGGACTGAAGACAGGATCGGGGTCACTGGGAGCCGGTTCTTGTCCCTGAAACACAAAGTCCTCATTAATGTGGTTCACATGTTGACCCCTCTGCCTGTGCGGGACATTAGCGTAAAGACTGGAACCAGCTAGCCTGGCTCAGTCCAGAGAGAGTCCACCAGGTGTGGGCTCACCTGGTGAAGTAGTAAGTGACCACGGCTCCGGCCACAGTCATCTGCTGGCAGGCCAGGATGAACTCAGTGATCCAGACCAGACCCACAGCGTGGTACCAGGTCAGGTACTGCAGAGGCCCCGTCAGCCTGAACTCCGTCAGACCCGTCTCCTCGTTCTGGACCGGGTTACCTGCAGAACCACAGACGCCCCAACATCAGGTTTTCAACTGCTTTGTTTTCTTTCTTAATCACAAACTCTACGTTTTGGAAACTACAGTTCCCATAATGCTTTGAGGGACGTAGAACGTCACCATGGAGTCAGCAGCTTGTTGATGCACGAGAACATCTTTACACCCCGCGCTGCGTTTCAGAGATGATCATCTGGAGATGAAAACATAACGAGCTGCGACGGTTCATCTATTAAAACTTTATCTTGATCAAAAGACGATCAGCAGCTCTGCTGATAATCCATGAAGCATTCGATGGTTCCGGCTCCTCAGAGGGGAGAACCTGCTGCTTTTCTTTAGAGTAAATTACATTTTTGGTGTTCTTCGCCTGGAGCTTCAGAATATTTGTGATGTTTTATGGACCTCATGGTTCCCCGAAGTCGTGTCTGCAAACTAACTAGAGCCCAGCAGATATTATCGGCCGATATGAGCTAAGCCGATCACGTTAAGCTAACGGTAGCTAACTTAAGCTACTCGGACAGACTACAGTACATTGTGCCCCAGTTATTAATGTAGGTATCAGATCTGCTCGGGGTCTTTATTCAATATTTTTGCTTTTATTTCGCATTTGCTTTGGCAATATGGCAATAACGTACACGCACGCACGTTAGCTTAAGTGGATCGGCAGCTAACATTAGCGTCGTAACATTAATTCACCGAAAACTAGTATCCGTAAACACTACGACATCCAGCCAATCACCATCTGCCACGTCGTCACACAAACGTACAGCCAATCCCGTTATGTGACGTCACCAGCAGGCGCAGACCCCCGAGCAGATCTGGTACCTACACCGGACGTGATTGTAGATTTATTTCTGAAACAGTGCAGCAGTTCTAGTGAACGCTCCTCATTTCTCACTAGTTCATCTCTTCTAAATATTCTCTTTTATATATCGCTTACAGCAGCTCACTAAGCTAATGCCGCGTTTATCAGTGGAGGAGCGCTAACGTTAATGAGCCGTTAACGTCTAAATGTATCTGCGAGCCGCCTGTCTGCAGTTACAGTCGGCGTGTCTGAAATGGTTAAACCAGAAGGGAACACGTGAATAAACATGAGCTGAACGAGAAACTAACACGGTTTCCAGTAACTCCTCTCTGTGTGACGTTGTGTCACGTGTGGAACGCCGTAGTCAGAGCTGGAACGCCTCTGGTTGTAACGTTAGTTACAGGAAATCTCTTGTATCAGATGCATTCAGCAGCAGCTCACTGTATCGTAGACGTCGTGTTGCAGAGCCAGCTGGTGGTTCAGAAATGGTTCCTCGTGGCTTCGGATGTTATTAAAGAGTGCTGGTCCAGAGATAAACTAGTTGTGAAGATGCTCCATTGGATGTGGTTATTAGGGCAGATTAAAATACACACAGCCTGCGCTTCTTCTCTTTCAGCCGTCTGTTTGCAGCTGCAGCTTCCTGCAGCAAATGTTTACATGATAAGTTGTAGAAACTGTAATCTATTTTATTAACTTAATGCATTTAGGAAAAGGTTCTATCGCCCACATACAGAACAGCTTTCACCATCGGCCTGTGATCCAGACAAAAGTGTAGTTTGGATCATTCTCAACATCGGCCCCCAAAAACCAAATCAGTCGGGCTCCGCTGTAAACACATGTCTGCGACACAATATTGGGTTTATAAGGTGTAGCCCGCCTTTTGCCCGGTGTCAGCTGGGATTGGCTCCACCACCCCGTGACCCCGTACGCAGGATAAGCGGCTAACGATGAGAGAGAGTGTGAATATTCAGTTTATTTCTTCAGATTAGTCTCTGATCTTTATTTCCCAAATCTCGGGACAGGTTCAAACATTTCCAGACCTGAAGGAGCGGTGTTTAAACTGACCTGTGGTGCCCAGGAACAGCAGGACCAGGATCCAGTAGATCCAGAAGAGCAGGAGGGCGAGGAAGGTGACGAAGGGCTGCAGGGTGAGCAGGGGCAGGTGGATGAAGACCTTCCCCGCCACGTGGAACAGAGCGATGGTCAGAGCGACTCGCTTCCTCATGAACAGCATCAACAGCAGCAGGATGATCTGAGAAGAAGAAGAAGAGGAGCTGAGAGCGCCGCCTGCTGGAAAGTTTAATATTTCACTTTCTCATCTACATTCACTCTGAACAGGAAGGAAACCCAAAGTAAGCAGCTTTAATTCAGATATTTCCCCTCTGACGATCAAAACAGTCTCAGCAGACCCCCCCTCACACGTACGGTGAAGACGGTGGCAGCTGCGGCGTAGACGAGCAGCGCCTGGCCGCCGTCTCTGCTGACCTCCACCTCTTCCTTGGCCTCCTCCTTGGTCACCTTCGTGGCGGTGTCGTTCCCGTACAGCCGGTGGTCGATGTAGAGCCACCAGAGGACGCTGGTCCCCGCTGGAACAGACACAAGACCGACTTAGTTTCTCTCCTCTACAGTCAGACCGCCGTTCAGTTCATTAAAAAAGACAGAGCGGGCTTTAACAGGTGGTTTCAGTGTTTTTAAACCTGCTCCCTGCTTCCACATGTTGGTGCTGAAATGATTTGTAGATCCAGAAGCTTCAGCTGGACCGGCTGCAGCGGATTCCTTCCTGTCGACATGGCGTCCACAGAAAGAGCTTCTTGTTGCCCCCCACAGGCTCAGACTGTTTCACCAGAGGTCATGGGAAGGATCCCTACGAGGGACTCCAGGGGACCCCCTTTGTTTCTATCAGGAGGTCTCGCTCTGAAATCTGCTGAGAGGCGAGTTGTTGCAGGAAGATCAGCTGCTAGTAGGGATGTCACGGGAACCAAGTCCAAACTAAAGTTCTGAAAACATGTCGGTACTTGTTTTGGATGGCGGCAGGTGCAGCCGCCGCAGCTCCGCCTCAACTTTAAGTAATTAATTTAATAGTTAACTATGAGCAGCGTCCTGGATGTGCTCTTTCAGTAGTTCTTTGTTTGAATGTTTTTATTAAAGGAGCGTCTGTAGCAGTGCATGATGGGATCGGATCTGTTATTGATAAATTTCAGGCACCGTGACATCACTCTGAAAGACTTTATTTTCTAACGTTGCTCCAACACGGCAAACTCCTCCCCCTCGTTTCCAGCAGGGGTCGCTCGTAGGGATCCTTTCCGCGATGCTGTCAGACGCCTGGTGTCACGGTAGACGGCACGCCCGGCCGAAGCGTCTGCTGCACCTACGAGTCATTTCAGCACCAAGACGCGTGGAAACAGGACCCAGGGTTAAAAATACCGAAGTCCCCCTTTCAGACAGAACGAGATCCGTTTCCTTCTGGACTGAAACCAGAGAAACATTTCAGCAGAGTAAACAGGAAGTGACCTCACCGAGGGATCCGAGGACGACCAGCGAGGTGAGGATCCAGACGAGGACGGCTGAGATGTAGCGAATGATCACCATGAGGATCATAGAGAGGACTGACAGACAGGAAGAGGTCAGAGGTCAGAGGAACCTGAACTGACACTGAGCTGCTGAACTTACATAACATCTAACAAAACTGTAAGAACCAGCTGAGGGCTGAACAGGTCTCTGAGCTCAGTGATGATGCTTCTCACCCAGAGCGAGGACACACAGTCCGATGATGATCTCTTTACTGGCGGCGACGCCGGCGATCAGTCGGTGCAGGACGCTGTTATCGCTGACAAACGTCACCACGGCCTCCGCAAACTTCGCATAACAGGAAACATCCAGCGGAGTGCAGCGGTTAAACACCGGCAGCGGCTTACTGAGGAGACACAGGGGTCAGAGGTCAGGGGGGTCAGAGGTCAGGGGGGTCAGAGGTCAGGGGGGTCCGAGGTCAGGAGGGTCAGAGCTGTTGGAGGTAAAACCGGACGTACCTGGGCGGAACAGGAAGTTTGGGACATTTCAAGAACCTCTCGGGTAGTCCGGGATATTTATGACCTGCTAACTCGTAGGAACACAGCTCCGAACCTGAAACAGAAGAACGTGATGAGATCATCTTCATCACCTTCATCATCTTCATCACCTTCATCAGCTCCGAGGACGCCTGAAGCCGCTCCAGCTGAAACATGTGGTGAACAACTGCAGCGTCAGTACACTAACACGCAGTACTCTGTGTACACTGTGTACTAACTGACACATGCCCTTGGTGTGAGAGACCCGGGTTCAATTCCCACTGCGACCACCAATGTGTCCCTGAGCAACTCGTTGCTCCAGAGGCGTGCGACCTCTGACATGTAGACCTGTAAGTCGCTTTGAATAAAAGAGTCAGCTAGATTAATCAATTTAAATGAATCTCGACAGCGTGGGGTCGTCTTAAATCAAACATGGCCGTTATGCACTAACCGGAGTAATGATCACAACATCTGACTGCTTCTTCTTCTTCTCTCTCTCTCATTATAACTATCATATGACCGCGGTTGTCTCCCACCAAAATATCTGCCGGCTTGTTTGCTTAAAATTAAAAATTAAAATACTTCTATGATCGCAGGCACTGCACTTTCCTCGGCCGCCATTTTCACTAGTTTAAAAACAGGTTGGTGGTCCCTCCCCTACCGCTACATAGCCAAGATGGCGACCGTTGAGAAGTGACCAGCGTTCCACTCTCACCTTTGTAACCATTATGATTACTTCATTCTGCCATACTCGTCAGTGTGAGACGGGAAGGAGAAACAGCCTTCACCCTCCCAGTTAACACAGACGACCAAACGCCTGGTGGAGATAAATGTATGTGGTCGCAGTATTAAATACACAGCAGCACATAAACTGTTTTATGTGCCAGACTCCAGGAGGTTCCAGCTTCCCCTCGCAGAGATGAAACTCACCTGATATAACGTGTTTTCTGTTCCCTCTGTTAGAGGCAGACTAGCTGTTTCCAGTCTTTATGCTAAGCTAAGCTAACCAGCTATAGCATCACATGTAGCGTGAAGACATGAGAGAGAGGAAGAGGAATGACTACATGTTGAACTGCTGCGGTACAGAAACACACAGCTTGTTGCTGTAAACCAACAGGTGAGCCGCTGGGACTAAATGAGGGTGGACAAAATAAGAGAAACACCTCCTCCAGAGCAGCCTCAGACTGATAAACTGGTTCCTCTGTGTTTCTGTGACAGAGGCTCCTTTCATGAACAACATGGCTGCCAGAGGAGCTGTGACGTCCCCTGATGAACCGTCTGCTGTCACGTTTTCAACACTGGACACACTGAGACACGGCAGCCATGACGGAGGACAAATGGAGGCGAGTGGCACCAACGACGCTGGACTTAATGCTGCCTTTGTTACTGTACTCTGAGTGTGGACAGTATGTATGCTGGCCGTGTGCAGACATTAAATCATCACCATGACGTGACGGCGAGCGCACGACTGAGCTACAAGGAAGAAGTGTCAGTTTGTCCACTGTTAAAATGTCATGGGGGGTGGGGGGTTGGGCTTGGGACGCCAAAGATGTTGTCACATGTCCCGCCCCTCCCGCCAGAAAGCCAATCATCCGCTCTTTTACCGCCAAGCTGGGAAACATATTCAGCCAATCGTGTGGCTCCACTGACGTTCAGATGTTGTGGTGGCGGCAAAGAGCAGGTGTGTGACCAGATCAGATCACTACATGTCCGCCAAAATACGACGATACGAAAATTATGTGAAAAGGCGCCAGATGTGATCTGCAGTCCTTGCATTTTGTACTAGAAAATATTGGGGTGCCTTCTATAAACATATACGATATCTGCTGACTGTATCCAGAACCTCAGTTAGCTTAGCATCCGTTCAAGCGCTACAGTGGGATGAGCTCATGGCGTCACGTCACCGGCGCTCTGGATAGATCCGTAAATGAGTACTATATAAGGACTTTGGAACCCGAGGAGTTCCCTGTGGTCACGTCAGCAGATTGGCCCGGAGCGTCACCACCATCAGACCGTCAGTGGTATGATCACACGTGATTCGTCGCAGCAAGTGAAAGTGACTCTAAATGCTGCCAAACGATAGATAAGTTCATCAGCGAGCGACACGGTTGGTGTCGTCAGCACATAGCAGCTTCCTGATTCTGTTCTAATGAACTAATAAATGGCAGCAGCACTTAATGAAGCTCTGCAGGAACGCAGGTTAGTCGGAGCTACCATGATGATGCAGTCAGGGCGCTGAGCTGGTCTGCTTATAAATAAAGGAGCTCCCAGACTCCACCTGTACGCAGATGACACAGTCCTTTATTACTAATGTCAGGAGGCTCTAACAGGATGTGGGAGGAGCTGCCTCATTAAATGATCACTGGAAAACTTTAAACTTCTTCATGATCAGTGACGGGGTTAATATCTACAAGCAGCAGAAAGACCTGATGCAAAGACCAATCTGATGCGAGGACACCTGTTCAGGTGTGTTATGAGTCATGTGACCTCACCGTTGAGCATGGCGAACCTCTTCAGATCCTGGTAGGTCTTCAGCTCCTCGGTGGGACACAGAGACACACACAGAGCCATGGATTTGATCTTCCTCTGAACGATGTCGATGTTGCAGGGATCCAGGAAGAAGACAAACCTGCAGGAGACAGAAAGCACAGGAGGTCACTAAAGGGTCTGACAGGGAAAGTGCTGAATTCTTCTTCTGCAGTTAGCAGATGGTCCAACAGGCTTAGCTGCTTTCAGTTCCACACACAACCGTTTAAAGGAAGATAGAAACAGACATCCATCTGAAAATAATCAGCGGACAACAGAAAGAATCGTTCGCTGCGGTCTTTGTTGGTTTTCGATGGGTGCTGAGCTGCTGTCACTAAAACTCGACACTTCCTTCTGATGTATCACATTAAAAGCCTACCTGGGGTTGTGGTTATTAAATGGGGTATTTTTAAAGAGGTGGTATTCTGCTCATTTTCAGGTTCATAGTCTTATTTAGAGGTTGTAGCAAAACAGGTTTAATTTTCAAAAAACACCATATTCTTTGTCCTACTGCACATTGCTGCATCTCCTCTTTTCACCCTGTGTTGAAGGCTTCGTTTTAGCTATGGAGTGATACCTCTTGTCTCTAAATGATCTTTGTTGGGAGTTGCACATGCTCAGTTCCTAGTTAAGAACTACTAGCCAATCAGAAGCAGAGAAGGGCGGGTCAGCGAGAAGCCGGTAAACAGCTCGGGTTCAGCCGTACGTGTTGCCGACCGGCTCGGCAACACGGACTGGAGCGAGAGTTTCAGAGCGGTGAGTTATTAATCTGTATCCATAAAGTTTTAACTGAGCTCTGTCTCTACATCACAGGAACAACTTTATGTCCACTGACTGCCTGGAGGGTAGCTAGTGTTTGGAAGGGAGAGGAGAGCTGTGTGCTGCAGCTCGCTGTTTCTGAGGGCGTGTCGGAGTAGCCGCTCGGCGAGCGTTATGACACGTATTTACTTGTGACGTCACAAGGAAGGGAAGGCCGGACTACAAACGAGCTGTTTTCAGTTCAGAGCAGAGTTTTCTGTGGGAGATGGGAACTCCCTTTGGGCTTTTTCACTTTACAAACCTGTTACAGCACAAAAAAGGTTTATAACTCGATAAAGGAGAGGGGAAAAGCCAAAAAGCAGAATACTAACTCTTTAATACTAACACTGTTTTCATTCATTCCTGGGACGCTTTTATTGTGAAAGGTCTGCAGGAACTGTTGAGTTTGATTGACAGAAGATATAAGTCAGTTTTACTCTGAAAGTCCACTGAGTCTGGCTGAGGCAGAGGGTGCAAACAACGCTCCACTGCTGAAGCGGCTGCAACGTATCTGAGAAGCTTCCAATGGAAGTTGACGGCGGGCAGAGAACGGACCAAAACCACGGCGCAGCAGTAATGCGACACAGCAGGATTAGGGTTAAAGGATAATTCCTCCCTTTTAATGTGAAAAGCCTGCAGGAAGTCTGCAAATCGAAGCGTTTGGAGTTAATCAGAGAATAAAATCAGACAGTGTGAGTACGACACGACTGCTGCACTGAGTAGAAATAAAAACACGGAGGAATAATAATAATAATAAATGTATTTAGTAAAAAGCACCACATGAAAATAATATGAGATAATAAAAACTTGATTTCAATGAACAATCATCTCAAAAATACATTCGTTGTTGGAACAAAAACTGAACAGAATCAGATGAATCAGAAGGAGCTTTATTGCAAAGTAGTGTTTTATACGTACGAGGAATTTGCTTTGGTGATAAGGAGCTACACTCAGACAAACATACAGCTGACATAAATAAATGCAGAAATATATAAATATGGAATAGACAATGCAAGTTATATAAGAATATTAAAAAGAATAGAGAAAAATAATACAACTATTTTCAGAGAAAATAATGTGGCAGATATTTACAAGATCACAAGATTACTAAACTCAAACAAATCAAATCTTCTGACAGACAAACAAGCTGATCAAACCAGCTTCTTATCTGGACACACTTCAATTAAAACAACAAGAGTTAGACGCGTCTGAGGATGAAATATCACAGTTAAATGTAGAGTGAGTCATCTGGGAATCACAGCAGGTGAACCTGCAGTGTGTTACGAGCAGGTCGGTGTATGTGTGGAACACTCGACTGTAACAACAACAACAGACAACATTGTGGAACAACACTGGACCTGCCTGGTTCTGAAACCGCCTGACGTGAGCTGCTGCCCACGGTACCGGCCGGTGACCCGGACCACGGTCCTGGAGGAGGTGAAGTGTTTGTAGTAAGATCAGAAGCAAAGACTGAGCTGAATGTCAGAATGTGGACGTGGGAGAGAAACTCAACAACAAAGAGAACTCCTCACTCTTCTTCTCCTACAGCAACAAGAATCTGTTCCTCTGACCCCCCCCACAGTATGTTAATGAGACCACCTGATGTCCTCTGCTAATCAATCAAACTGATCTGTACTCTCAGACAGCTGATGATAACCGTACTTCAGTATTTCAGTTATACTTCTTCTGCATCGCTTTACTGCACTACACGTATTCTTCTTCTAAAACACTGTTCTATTAAACAAGTTTCAGTGTGTCTCCTCGTCACCCTCTGTACAAAGTGAAGCCAAAGTATCCGGATACAGGCGCCGCCATCCTGGAGGGGTGGAGCCACGGTATCGAGGTCCCGCCCACCCACTCACCCAATCACATCAGCGCTCAGCTGTCAATCATGATGTGAAACCCCCTTTTTTTCAGCATCACAAAAACGTCAGCGTGATGAGAACGACCTGAAACAACAGAAACCGTCTTTGGGGAAATGTATTTGTCATCCGCCAACATGCAGGGGGGAGGGGTTTATGACCAGCAGGGGGCGCTCCAGAGGTTCTGGCTTCACTTCTTGTTTGTCCATCTTTAGAAACCGTCTACGTTCCACCAAAGAGACGATTTCTTCTTCTATCCTCTCCCGTCAGTCGTCTCACGGCGCCTCACATTTATCTGGTGACCCTTTGGAGGGGCCCGGCCCCCGATGCCTGGTGCACACGAGGGGATAACTTCGCCCTCCTGACAATCGCGGGGCGTTCCCGAGCCGAGGCCGATCCATATGATCTGCAGTATGACGGGTTAACAGGCTGCGTTCACTCTGCAGGGCTCAAGGCCGATTTATTACCGATCTGATGTTTCTGATTGAGCTATATACATTATAGAAAGTGACCCGTAGAAGAATAACGCGAGGTCACACGCAGCACGCTGTCGTACAGGAGTGAACATGGCGCCACAGAGGTTTGCTCCTACCTGCTAACCCTCCTGGTTCCCTCCTGATTCATGACAAATGTTCCCAACTTTCTGTCCTTCTCTTTACGTTCATGACTGTTTGCACTTCTGCCCCACACCTCTCTCTCTCTGCTGCTTCTGCTCAGACAGGCGACTCAGCAGAGAGCTGGAGACCAGCTGGATCTCAGGTGGGAGGAAGTGAAGCTGTGAGCAGCTGATGGCGAGGACGAGGAGAAAGAGAGACACGCTTTGAATTCTGGCTTTTGCGGAGCTGTTTCGTTCCCCGCGGCTCCGTCTAGACCAGAACTGTGACGCCGGTCGCTTTAGACAAACAATCGGACCTGGATCTGATTCGGACCACATGTGAAAGTGGCTCCACTCTGACCTGGAACAGATCAGGGTCCATGTGACCTGTTAGAAACACAGCAGATCTGAGTCACTCTGGCTGCAGCCTGAACGCAGCCTAAAGGCCGCCGACTGGATCAGATTACTCACTAAGCAGAACCCCACAGCAGCCAATCAGAGCCAGCTGACCGGGAGGCATCACCAATAATACTTCTCGGGACTTTTACTTAGTATTTCAACATTGATGTAATGGTACTTATAATAATAATAATAATACATTTTATTTGTGGGCGCCTTTCATAGCACTCAAGGACACGTTACAGATTAAAACAGTTAAATTACATTTCAAGGAGGCAAATACAATAAAGAAAATAAAAACATGACACAATTTAAAGATTAAGATAAAACAGAATGGAGAAAAACTATTTCAAAAATAAAAGAAAGCAGTTCATCATGAAGCCGGTGGAAGGTGGAGTTATGTGGGGTAGGCCTTTCAAAATAAGTGGGTTTTGAGCAAAGTTTTAAAGGAGGCTGTGGACTCAGTCGTACGGATGAATAGAGGGAGCTCCAAAGGTGAGGCGCACAACAGCTGAAGGCTCTGAACCCCATAGTGGACATGCGGACAGAAGGAGTAGTGGGGAAGAAGAGGATCGGAGAGTTCGGGATGGGGCGTAGGGCTGAAGGAGTTCAGAGAGATAAGGAGGAGCAAGATTATGGAGAGCTTTGATGGTGAGGACTTTTACTTAAGGATCCGAACATTGAATACTACCAATGAACACTAGTTACACGGCGAGTAGTGACGCCGCCGACCATGAGTATTTCACGGTTTGAAGACGAGGACCTCCGTAGCAACAATTACTTCAAAAACGACATGAATGCAGAATTGTTCTATTTGAATCAGTCCTGCTTCTGTGCACGAGCCACATCCACACTACACAGTAGGTGTACACAGTATACTACAGCGTGCTAATGCTACATGCTAATAACAGATGAGAACTGATTAATTCCAGGTGGGCGACACAAATATTCTACAAATACCATTGTAAAAATACCACAATAATACACTATAAATACCACTGTAATACACCAAAAATACCACTGTAAAAATACCAAATACCACTGTAATACACTACAAATACCACTGTAATACACTACAAATACCACTGTAAAAATACCACTGTAATACACTACAAATACCACTGTAAAAATACCACTGTAAAAATACCACTGTAATACACTACAAATACCACTGTAAAAATACCACTGTAATACACTACAAATACCACTGTAAAAATACCACTGTAATACACCAAAAATACCACTGTAAAAATACCACTGTAATACACCAAAAATACCACTGTAAAAATACCAAATACCACTGTAATACACCAAAAATACCACTGTAAAAATACCACTGTAATACACCAAAAATACCACTGTAAAAATACCAAATACCACTGTAATACACCAAAAATACCACTGTAATACACCAAAAATACCACTGTAAAAATACCAAATACCACTGTAATACACCAAAAATACCACTGTAATACACCAAAAATACCACTGTAAAAATACCACTGTAATACACCAAAAATACCACTGTAAAAATACCAAATACCACTATAATACACCAAAAATACCACTGTAAAAATACCACTGTAATACACCAAAAATACCACTGTAAAAATACCAAATACCACTGTAATACACCAAAAATACCACTGTAAAAATACCAAATACCACTGTAATACACTAAAAATACCACTGTAAAAATACCACTGTAATACACTACAAATACTGTAATACACTACAAATACCACTGTAAAAATACCACTGTAATGCACTACTAATACCACAGTAATACACAAAAAATACCACAACGATACACTAAAAATACCACTGTAAAAATACTACTGTAATACACTAAAAATACCACAATAATACACTACTAATACCACTGTAAAAATACCACTATAATACACTACAAATACCACTGTAATACACTACAAATACCACTGTAAAAATACCACTGTAATACACTACAAATACCACTGTAAAAAATACCACTGGAATACACTACAAATACTGTAATACACTACAAATACCACTGTAAAAATACCACTCCAATATACCACTAATACCACTGTAATACACAAGAAATACCACAATGATACACTAAAAATACCACTGTAAAAATACCACTGTAAAAATACCACTGTAATACACTAAACAATACTACTGTAATACACTACAAATACCACTGTAAAAATACCACTCCAATACACTACTAATACTGTAATACACTACAAATACCACTGTAAAAATACCACTGTAATACACTACAAATACCACTGTAAAAAATACCACTCCAATACACTACTAATACCACTGTAAAAATACCACTGTAATACACTACAAATACCACTGTAAAAATACCACTCCAATACACTACTAATACTGTAATACACTACAAATACCACTGTAAAAATACCACTCCAATACACTACAAATACCACTGTAAAAATACCACTGTAATACACTACAAATACCACTGTAAAAAATACCACTCCAATACACTACAAATACCACTGTAAAAATACCACTGTAATACACTACAAATACCACTGTAAAAATACCACTCCAATACACTACTAATACTGTAATACACTACAAATACCACTGTAAAAATACCACTCCAATATACCACTAATACCACTGTAATACACTAAACAATACCACTGTAATACACTACAAATACTGTAATACACTACAAATACCACTGTAAAAATACCATTCCAATATACCACTAATACCATAGTAATACACAAAAAATACCACAACGATACCACTGTAATACACTAAACAATACCACAATAATACACTAAAAATACAACTGTAAAAATACCACTCCAATACACCACTAATACTGTAATACACTACTAATACCACTGTAATACACAAAAAATACCACTGTAATACACTAAAAATACCACAATAATACACTACAAATACCACTGTAAAAATACCACTCCAATATACCACTAATACCATAGTAATACACAAAAAATACCACAACGATACCACTGTAATACACTAAACAATACCACAATAATACACTAAAAATACAACTGTAAAAATACCACTCCAATACACCACTAATACTGTAATACACTACAAATACCACTGTAAAAATACCACTCCAATATACCACTAATACCACAGTAATACACAAAAAATACCACAACGATACCACTGTAATACACTAAACAATACCACTGTAATACACTACAAATACTGTAATACACTACAAATACCACTGTAAAAATACCACTCCAATATACCACTAATACCACAGTAATACACAAAAAATACCACAACGATACACTAAAAATACCACTGTAAAAATACCACTGTAATACACTAAACAATACCATTGTAATACACTACAAATACTGTAATACACTACTAATACCACTGTAAAAATACCACTCCAATATACCACTAATACCACAGTAATACACAAAAAATACCACAACGATACACTAAAAATACCACTGTAAAAATACCACTGTAATACACTAAACAATACCATTGTAATACACTACAAATACTGTAATACACTACTAATACCACTGTAAAAATACCACAATAATACACCACTAATACCTCAGTAATACACAAAAAATACCACAATAATACACCACTAATACCTCAGTAATACACAAAAAATACCACAATAATACACTACTAATACCACTGTAAAAATTCCACTGTAATACACTAAACAATACCACTGTATTATACTACAAATACCAGTGTTACACTAAAAAACCCCACCGTGGTAGCGACCACAGACCTCACTAGTGACCTACTGTAAAACCAGACTTACTTCCTGTCGGTGTGGTCGAGGCCGCTCAGCCTGACGCCTTCGATCTGCTCGTTGCGTTGACCGCAGGTGTTTCCGTAGCTGTCATATCCGAAGACGAGGCGAGCGGCGCCGCCGGTGACGATGGTGAAGCCGCAGATGCTGCCCTGCAGGACAGAAAGACGCCTGTTACCAGGGAAACTAACAGTCAGTTCTTTAATGATTAATACTGATTATTTTCCTCAGTAATCAGTAGTTAGTTTATAATCGATCTCAGTCTCTCAGAGTTCAGCAGATGAAGACACAGAGTTGGCCTGATGTGTTCCACCTGTGTCTCTCTTGTGTATTTAAGTCTAAACTTCAGCCCTGGTCCACGTGTCCTCGTGTTTCTGCAGATACAGCTCCTGGTGCCTCCTGTTCTGGACTGCCTGCCTCACCTGTGAGCTCACCTGTGTCAGCGCTGAAGCTAAAGAGAATAAATATGTTTTTATCACCTGAAGGAGTTTTATTCTCCTTTCTGATAATTAAACTTTCATCTTCTCTATTTCAGTCTGTGGCTCAGTTGTAAAATCAAACTGTTTCTGACCAATCAGATCTCTTGGCAGTCTAATGAGCCAATCAGCTGTCTGCTCTGCTGCGTTCATGGTCTGTAGGAAATCAGGCTCATTTATCTTTTATCTCTCCATTTTCACAAATCTGCTGCTTCACGACTGATGAATCAGCTGTTATACGTTTCTACTCAAACTAAATATCTCACTTCCTGTTTCCACCTGAACGGCTTCAGTCAGTGAACTCAGGTGTAAACACAGAAGTGAATAATTACACTACAGCTACTTTCATTCAATTAATCAAATGACACAAACTGCATCAACCGTTAAAATCCATTTTCTTGATTAATTCAGTTTTTAAAAGTTTCTCAGAGTCCAAAAGCCCAAAGGACAAAGTTACTGAGGCAGCCAATAAAAACAAGCTCAGTCTATTAAATTTAACTACTTCCCAATAGTTACTTATGTGATCTTGTAGTATTTCTGTGTTTTGGATCTGTGTATAAATACACTGACAGTGTATTCACGCCACTATGTTCACCATGATGCCACTGTGGTCATCATGATGCCTGCGTGGTCACCATGATGTTCACCATAATGCCAGCGTGTTCAACATGATGCCACTCTGGTCACCATGATGCCAGCGTGGTCACCATGATGTTCACCATGATGCCTGCATGGTCACCATGATGCCAGCGTGGTCACCATGATGTTCACCATGATGCCACTATGTTCACCATGATGCCTGCGTGGTCACCATGATGTTCACCATGATGCCAGTGTGGTCACCATGATGTTCACCATGATGCCAGCGTGATCACCATGATGTTCACCATGATGCCAGCGTGGTCACCATGATGTTCACCATGATGCCAGCGTGGTCACCATGATGTTCACCATAATGCCAGCGTGTTCAACATGATGCCACTCTGGTCACCATGATGCCAGCGTGGTCACCATGATGTTCACCATGATGCCACTATGTTCACCATGATGCCTGCGTGGTCACCATGATGTTCACCATGATGCCAGTGTGGTCACCATGATGTTCACCATGATGCCAGCGTGATCACCATGATGTTCACCATGATGCCAGCGTGGTCACCATGATGTTCACCATGATGTTCACCATGATGCCAGCGTGGTCACCATGATGTTCACCATAATGCCAGCGTGTTCAACATGATGCCACTCTGGTCACCATGATGCCTGCATGTTCACCATGATTCCAGCGTGGTCACCATGATGTTCACCATGATGCCTGCGTGATCACCATGATGTTCACCATGATGCCAGCGTGGCCACCATGATGTTCACCATGATGCCAGCGTGGTCACCATGATGCCACTATGTTCACCATGATGCCAGCGTGGTCACCATGATGTTCACCATGATGCCAGCGTGGTCACCATGATGCCACTATGTTCACCATGATGCCAGCGTGGTCACCATGATGTTCACCATGATGCCAGCGTGGTTACCATGATGTTCACCATGATGCCACTATGTTCACCATGATGCCTGGGTGGTCACCATGATGTTCACCATGATGCCTGGGTGGTCACCATGATGCCAGCGTGGTCACCATGATGTTCACCATGATGCCTGCGTGGTCACCATGATGATATCAGCATATATGCCACGTGTTCAACATAATGCCAGCGTGTTCACCACAGATTCACTATGATGTCTGTGTATAAACCACGTGTTCAACATAATGCCAGCGTGTTCACCACATATTCACTATGATGTCTGTGTATAAACCACGTGTTCACCATAATGCCAGCGTGTTCACCACATATTCACTATGATGTCTGTGTATAAACCACGTGTTCACCATAATGCCAGCGTGTTCACCACATATTCACTATGATGTCTGTGTATAAACCACGTGTTCACCATAATGCCAGCGTGTTCACCACATATTCACTATGATGTCTGTGTATAAACCACGTGTTCACCATAATGCCAGCGTGTTCACCACATATTCACTATGATGTCTGTGTATAAACCACGTGTTCACCATAATGCCAGCGTGTTCACCACATATTCACTATGATGTCTGTGTATAAACCACGTGTTCACCATAATGCCAGCGTGTTCACCACATATTCACTATGATGTCTGTGTATAAACCACGTGTTCACCATAATGCCAGCGTGTTCACCACATATTCACTATGATGTCTGTGTATAAACCACGTGTTCAACATAATGCCAGCGTGTTCACCACATATTCACTATGATGTTAGCCAGTGGTGCACAATATATTGACTGAATATTGTTATCGCAAAATCACTATATGGAATATCGTCTTGAAAATGTCGCAGAAAGTTTGCAATATTCCGTTTATATTGTGGAGAGACGTGTCCGGAGCTGTGTGGCTTAGCTGTGTTCTATTAAGAGCCCACTTAAAACCACTATTGAGTCCACTACACAAACATACTCAATGCAGCATCCCATGTGACGTGTGTGCACAATTCAACAGCGGGGGGGAAACAAGAGAAGTGAAGCGAGTCAGAGGAGTAAAAGAAAAGTTAATTAATTACAGAAATGAATATCGTTAGCGCAATATTCATGATCAGTATCGCGATATCACATTTTCTTGCTGCCCTGTTCCTTTGCAACATCGTGGCGAACACGCTGACATTTAGCTGTAACACAGACTGGCTGTCAGCAGTAAACTGTCCATAAGTGTCCCAGTGCTGCTGAACAAAGCTCCATCCTCTGACTGCATGTCAGCTGACATGTGATCATAAAATCAGCATCAATGATCACTTTGTTGAAGAACTCTATTAAACTGCTCTTTCTCAGCAAATGATTCTCTAGCTGATTAAAAGTCCCTCAGCTGCTGTCAGGGCTGCAGAGTTATTTATATTATGGATTGAACAGCTGATTCATTTCTAAAATCTTTAATCAATATTCCTGATGGAAGGTTAGATTTATTATAACAGCATTAAAGACAACGGGACTAACAGCTGATGTTAAACAGAACATAATGTGCAGAATTGTTTTCTCCCGATCGACTAATCGATGACTGAGTTGTAAACACTGGACAGAGAGGTTATTGATCAGAACGGGTTATTGATCGGTATCATGTGGTGACGGCGGGCTCGGTGTGGTTACCATCCCGACGCAGAAGACGGTGAAGAGCAGGAACCAGGGCAGGTCCGTGCAGCTCCGGTCCTCCAGCGGTCTCCATTCTCTCTTTGTCCTCTGAAACACACAAACACACGGTCACGCCGGGAGCTGAGCTTGGGCCTACGGGACCGGGCCTACGGGACCGGGCCTACGGGACCGGGCCGACCCGAACTCAGTCTGTCCCCGGGCCTGTTCGCTCGGCTCGGCCGGGTCTCCATCACTAATCAGATCACACAAAGCGACATGTTGAACCGGTCCCGGTGCAGGCCCCGGTAACCCGGAGGAGGTAATTGGATTATGGCTGCTGGCTCTAATCCCAGCTCGGCCTTCTCTGCTCCCCGGGACCGGTTTCCCTTTCACGGTGAAAAAACACAAACACGCACCGGTGCTCTGCTGAAGGGCACCGGGGGGGTGGAGGAAGGGGAAGACGGTACCGGGCCGGGCCGGGCCGGGCCGTTCTTACCTCCGCGCTACCGCAGCATCCCATTGCAGTCAGGGTGGACGAGCCCGGAGCCTCACGGAGCCTCACGGAGCCTCACGGAGCTTCAGCAGCAGCGGGTCTGGAGCCCGACAGGCGGGGACGGGGGACACGCACAGCCCCACGCGCTCTGCCCGCATGCACTCACTGCGCAGCGGCGCGACTCCAGAGGCCGAGTCCGGAGCGGAGACGGTTCCGACGGTCAGAGGGAGCGATCCGGCCCGCTGCGCATGCTACTGTCCGGTCACCGTACCGAGCGGGGATTAACGGCCGAGGATTTGTCCGCCACACTTCCTGGTGGGCCGTCAGGTGCAGCGGCCATTCATGTCATTGCGCGTGCGCATTTGCTGTTCGTGCAGAGGCGGAGGAGCAGAACAACAAACCGTTATACCGGCGGATGTAGTACCCGGTCTGACCGCTGAGTGCGGGCTAATGACGGGGTGGCGCTGTTTCCACTGCTGGAACACTTTCCATAACTTTATTTAAAAAAAACTAATAATTCAAAAGGTTTTATCTTCTGGTTTGTTTCTGTACTTTAGATGAAACACAAAACCCTCGCAGGGAAGAAGAAACATGTACATAGGTACCCTATAATTAGTGTTTGTGTAAATGACAACAGCAGAAACACGAACCAGCAGCGCAGAGGGAGATTCCCTGGATTTACCTCCACACATCTCTCTTCAAAGGTTCCTTTAGTGTTTTTATTCAGCACTTTACAACAAGAGAGCTCTGAATACTCAGATCAGATGTTTTCTCTTTTAATCCTGATCGAAAAGGATCAGGTGTGAACACTTTTCATTCTTTTAGTGTTTTCTGACATTACATTTACATTTGACATTTACTCATCTGGCAGACGCTTTTATCCAAAGCGACTTACATTTGAGGAACAACATACAAGCAATACTTCTGTACTTTTACACTGGAGTATTTTTACATCGCTGTACTGCTGCTTTTACTTAACCAAAGGATCTGAACACCAGCGCAGGACCGATAAAGGATGTGGACTTGATGTTTGTCCGAGACCAGAGCCAGAAAGTCCCGGACTCGTTTTCACAAAGTGAATCCAAATCATGTACTTTAGTAAAAGTACACAACAGAGTATAAATACGTAACGGAAAGGACAAAGAGGAGTTCACAGTACTAACACAAGGAGAGTGATGAAGTACAGCAGACCTGGTGTACATCTGCTGCCGTATTTAAGTGAAAGTACACAAGTATTATTACAGTATTATTAAGAAAATGTACTTTGTTATGTTTCCACTCGATGTCTGTGACCAGTAACCTTTTACCTTTTTCCTGAGGCGAACCTGCTGCTGGGAACCCGAGGAGAGACGCTTAGGGTCCATGTTCCTGCAGAGTCCTGGAGAGTCCTGGAGAGTCCTGGAGAGTCCTGGTGTTCCTGTCAGACTGAGGACAGCAGCGATGTGGGTCTGACCAGCCTGCAGAGAGGACAGAGAGTCTTATTGTCTTATTGTTTACTGTTGTACCAGGCTGTGTGTGTGTGTGTGTGAGAGAAAAACTGCAGTAAAGTACGAATACAGAAGACGATACATTTCTATTTATATAGATGACGGACTCAGTCACACATCAAACATTATTAATCATGTTAACTCCAAACTGTCAAGATCCATTTCAGTATTTAAAAAAAGTAAAACAGACAAGTGTTTTCTGGGGTTAGGGTTTATTTCCAGGTTTAGTGTTTTTTTGAGTTATTGAAATGAATTCTTTCCTCATTTATGTGCCTCTTTTTTGTTAATAATTGATGTAAATTTCAAAATCAAATCACCAAGTGTTTCAAAAGTTCCTTTGGCTGTAATTATTATTATTATTATTATTATTTAATAATTTAGTTTGGTTTCAGTTATTATTTCTGTTATTTCTGTTTCCTGTTAAATACAGTATGTAAGGTATCAATAAAAGTTAATACACAGGTTTTACTTTACTCCCTGTAAACGGGCGTACTGACCAGTAAGTGATGCTGTGAATGCAGACAGACACAGGAACATTTTGACCGGCACTCTGGGAATGTAAGCTAGTAAACCTGTTTTGGGGGAAAGTCATAGAACACATAGGGATGGGTTAGACATGATATCAGAATATGACTTTGCTGTGACGCCACTGAGCGATTCTCAGATTATGGAAAACACCTGCAGAGCGACGGACAGAACATCTGTCAGAAACAGTGTTCTGTGAACAGGTGTTGGACTTTGAGAGGTCCTGGAAACACTTCCCCGTCTGCTGTGATGGTTCTTTTAGTGCAAAAACTTACTTCTGGACACAATAACATGCTGTCTGTTCTGAGCTTTTAATATTCAGATAAAACCTTTAATCACAAAAACAAATTATATTTATCAATGAACAAAAAACAGAGTGAACAGAAGAAAAATCAGATCAGGATCTGGTGACCCCCCTTTATCTTCAAACAGCATCAGGTCCTCTAGGTTCACCTTCTCACGCTAAGGAGCTCTGCAGGTGGGTCGGTCCGAACCTCTTGGAGAACTTCCCACAATCCATCTGTGGATTCTGTACTTCTCAGCATTGAGGGGACCATTAATTCTGACCAGATCCCCGACTCTGTCTGCAGAAATGCAGACCCTAACCTGCAGGACCCTCCACCGTGCTTCATGCTACCTGCACACTCTCATTCTTGTTCCTCTCTCCAGCCTTTCAGTGAACAACCTGCCTTCTGCTGCAGATATTCCACATGTTTCCATGTCGGAGGAGTTTTGGCTGCAAGTCTTCCATGAAGGCCGCTTCTGAGCAGACTTCTGTGGACAGTAGATGGTGGACCAGGGTCCCACTGTGTCCTGATGATGGACCAGGGTCCCACTGTGTCCTGATAGTGGACCATGGTCCCCCTGTTTCCTAATGGGTTAGGGTTAGGGTTAGGTCTTGATGGTGGACCAGGGTCCCGCTGTTTCCTGATGGTGGACCAGGGTCCTACTGTGTCCTGATGATGCACCAGGGTCCCACTGTGTCCTGATAGTGGACCATGGTCCCCCTGTTTCCTGATGGTGTAGGGTTAGGGTTAGGTCTTGATAATGGACCAGGGTCCCCCTGTTTCCTGATGGTGGACCAGGGTCCTACTGTGTCCTGATGATGCACCAGGGTCCCACTGTGTCCTGATAGTGGACCATGGTCCCCCTGTTTCCTGATGGTGTAGGGCTAGGGTTAGGTCTTGATAATGGACCAGGGTCCCCCTGTTTCCTGATGGTGGACCAGGGTCCCCCTGTTTCCTGATGGTGGACCAGGATCCTACGGTTTCCTGATGGTGGACCAGGGTCCCACTGTTTCTTGATAGTGGACCAGGGTCCCACTGTTTCCTGATGGTGAACCATGGTTAGGGTTAGGTCTTGATAATGGACCAGGGTCCCCCTGTTTCCTGATGGTGGACCAGGATCCTACGGTTTCCTGATGGTGGACCAGGGTCCCACTGTTTCCTGATGGTGTGTGTGTGTGTGTGTGGGGGGGGGGGGTTCACACCAGATACTGACTAACTTATTCTTTCTGGATAAATATAAACTATTAACGTGTTCATTTTTGAAAACATTCTTACTTTCAGCACCTATGTGAGTAAATATATATTTTATGTTTGTTTTCAGGTCACATTTACAGGTTTTCCTTCCCTTTCTGTCAAATAAGATTTTTTTTACAGAATTGCTTCCTTTAAAATAAATAAAAGGGACAAATGAGAAACACAGAAAGAATCTCTCTACCAAACTTGATTTCTCGGGGACAGGCAGAGTTCATGCTGTACTGCATCGGCCAGACGTGGAGAGTAATTACAAATATTTACTCAAGTACTGCAACTATAAGCAAAAAGTTTAAGTACTTTTTTCTGACACTGTATACTTGCACTGCACTACATGTGTCTGACAGCTGGAGTTACTGATTACTGTTCAGATAAAGATATTTAAATAAAAACATGAGCATATGGATGAGTAGTTAACATAGCTCCACCTGGCCTACATGTAGCATGTATTAACACACTGGGAGGAGCGGTTGTTTACACAGAGTTCTTTTACCTTTGATACTTCAAGTACAAACAACAGTGTCACGTGATAGTACTGCAAATATGTACTGATTACACTTGTTTTATACAAACAGGTCAAAAACAGCTATGAAGGGAATAACAGGAAGTGATCACACGTTTGATTTTTGGTTATGTTGCTGTTAATTTGATAGACGCTAACATGCTAACACCAACAAATCGGCCTGCTTGGGAACCAACATGAGGACAGAACATCTCAGTGTTTAGTTTATTATTATTTTACCACACAACTCGGAGAGTCTTTGTACAAACAGACCATAAAACCTCCAGAAAAACAGCTGATTTAGTGTCATTGCTGCAGGAAACCGAACACACATCACCCGTTAAGTTTGCATTGAAATTAGTGTTCTGTGTATAAAATATTAAATTTCTTTTTCCTTTTGCAAGAACTCTATTAAATCCTCAAGAATATCTTCTAACAGATATTTCCCTTCACTCTCTTGTTTTCTCTGTGAAAGACTGAATAAAACCAGTCGACAGAGTTTCAGTTCCAGCAGAAAGTTTCAAATCTGCTAAAAGCTCCTCGACTGTTTTCTTAGTTTTCCTTAGACAAATACCTCGTCTCTCTAATAAACACAGGTACATTAAACATTTACAGTTATGTTTGTATGTGAACCCTTACAACTAAAATACAATGGATAAAAAATAAACTATTGCTGATTATACTTCTGTACTTTTACTCAAAAAAAACTTTGATGCAGTACTTTTAATGAATACTTCTGCACAGGTAAAGGATCTGATTACTTCTTCTGAGCCTGTTGACTCACAGTTTATGAGAACAACAATCTAACTCTTCTGACTGTGTGTCGAAAGACTCGGAACAAGTTAGGTAAGTGGACCCTGAGTGGAGAAGTTAACAGAGAACATTAACATCTTCTAAAACATTCTGTCACTGAGGTCGGATTGTTCCTTCCCTGGGAATCAGATCTGAATGCAGTTCTGTGTTCGTCCACTAGAGTTCAGGCCAATGCAACAGCTGACAGTGTCAGGCCTCTTTCATAGAACCGTCTGATCAAACACAACGTTCTTCAAACTAAAGCCATCAGGCTGATCTGCAGTCAGATGTTCCACACAGACATGTTCCTAACAGACAAACGAGTTCCTAACAGACGTGTTCCTAACAGACAAACGAGTTCCTAACAGACAGACGAGTTCCTAACAGACGTGTTCCTAACAGACAGACATGTTCGTAACAGACAGACGTGTTCCTAACAGACAAACGAGTTCCTAACAGACAGACGTGTTCCTAACAGACGTGTTCCTAACAGACGTGTTCCTAACAGACAAACGAGTTCCTAACAGACAGACGAGTT